TTCACGCAACTAGTGGGAGCCGTTGCTTATGTCCATAGCAAATCTTGCGTTCACCGTGATCTCAAGCTAGAGAACATCTTACTCGACAAACATGAGAACGTGAAGCTGTGCGATTTTGGGTTCACTCGCGAATATGAAGGCAAGGTGAGTTACTTGCAGACGTTTTGTGGAACAGTATGCTATAGCGCTCCCGAAATGCTCAAGGGCGAGAAGTATGCTGGCGAGAAGGTGGATGTCTGGAGCTTGGGTATCATTCTTTACGCCCTGCTTGCTGGGGAGTTGCCATTCGATGATGATGACGACCAAGTAACAAAGGCTCGGATTCTTGGTGAAGAAGCAATTTTCAACGATAAATTTCCCGACGATGCCAAAGCCCTCATCAATCTACTCCTTTCGAAGCGGCCCCTTATTCGACCCAGTCTGGACGAGATCCTTGCCCATCCGTTTCTTGCAGAGCATGCTCCCGAACAGTTGGCGATTCTCAAGATTCCGCGCCCAGCCGCCTTCTCGACCCCTCTGGAGAGGACCACGCTGCAGCGCATGAAGAGTGCAGGAGTCAACATCGATGAGGTTGTCGAGAGCGTTCTCTCTCAACGCTGTGACCCCCTCGCTGGTTGGTGGGCATTGTTGATCGAAAAGGAGCAGCGAAAAGAGCAGAAGAGGGAGCGTAAAAGACGCGAGCGTGAAGCGGAAGCTAAGAATATTCGTCGCTTGAGTGCAGCAAGCAGTCGGCTGGAAAAGATCTCGGCCGCCCTTGTGGAAGTCGACGAAGAGGGCCACGCCGCAGACACTCATCTTCGTGAGCGAGGACGGCGAGACAGACGGAGTCTTCCTTCTCAGCTTGCTGTCCCAGAGCTGCCAATGCTTCCCGAACCGACACCCCTGCAGTCACCAGATTCTAGCACGCCTCCGCCCCCCATTGACAAAGATTCCATTCGTTCTGCTAGTTCGACCCGGCAGCGTCCCCCACCACCACCGAAGGATCAAGCACGACGGCCGAGCACGTTGCATGTGAGCGCATCGCAGCCTGAATTGGCCCAGCACAACAATGGCATTTTTAGACGCCGCACCGGTCGCCGCCAGTACCCGATAATAAGCCAATTGGCCTCGTTGAAGCACTGGTTTGTGGAGTCTGCGAAGAGAGCCAAATCTCCTCACGCCAAGGCGGCTGGGGGTCAAGGAGGCCATCGCAAGTTTCTCTCCGAGAAATTGAGCCCGGCCAAGGGCCAGGATACTGGAAAGAAGCCCACTTCGGCATCTGGGGCCAGCGCGCACTCTGGTGACTTGTTGACGCCAACACAGATCAAGCGCTCGTCGAATGCCAGCAGCTTAGCCCCGAGCAGTGCTTCCTATCCGAACAACCGCCATTCCTACCCTCGCCACAATCGTCCCTTGAGCACTAGCCAGAGAAACTCTCTCTCGCCATCTCCGATCACCCCAAGAGGTTCATACCGGCGATCCTCCGCAGGTCTGCGTGGTCGCAAGTCCACTTCATCTTCCGTGTCCTCCATCCGCAGCATCCATCATGCCCATAGCCACTCTAAAGCATCGTCCGTTTCTTCAAATAGTATTGGTTCAGCGTCGACTTCAACGGCTCGAATCTCGAAATCGCCTCACACATCAGTCAAAGTCCTTCCCACGACGCCAAGTGCGTCTGCACGATTTCCCAGTAATATCCGTCTGGTGCGAGGCACGCAGAACGGTTTCCGTGACATTGATGACCCTAACGGGAGGATCAATAATATGTTCAACGAGGCAGCCCCAGCGCCACTGCTCTACTCCCCTTCGTCAAGCCTCGTCTTTGCACGTCGAAAACGATCCGCGTTCAAGGGACCTATGGTCCATACAGCTAATCTGATGGTATCGGGTGGAATGACGAGCACTGAGTACCCAAATGGCGACATAGGGATTGGAGGCCCTGCGGTCGCAGCAGCACCTCGATCTGGGACACGAAAAAGCCAAATAATAGAAGAGGAAGAGGACATGGAGGAAGATATCGAAGAAGTCGATACTTTTGATGGCCTAGATGAAGGGCCAGGCTCGCCAGTCGACTCCACTGCCTCGGAAGACCATACGGGCGCTGGACATCTGGCGGGATCGTCCTTCGGGCGAACTGGCAAACCGACTCTAGCTCCTGCTGCAGAACTCGAGTCGACTCCGCGCCCACCCCATACATCTTAACTGAGTGACACCCGATTAGAATGCGGTGTCCCAGGAGTTTCAGTGTCACCGTATCCTAGGAGTCATGAGTCTAGGAAACGGAGAGTCCCGAATACAAAAGCGACAGCAATTATAGAGTACAGGCTCGCTGGGTACATTGTTGGCTTGTTTGATTTATTGTTTTCTCATACACATTTATACCCCTTTTCTTTGCGTCTATAAGGAGCTAAAATTTCTTGGACATTGATTTCTCTTCTGTTCTTCTAGCCTTTTTCTTCATGATGCGGCGCGCAAAATAATGATCGGATGACGAGTTGGGAGGCGTTTGTATACCATCCCATCCCTCTTGTTCTCCTTATTTTTACCCCCTTCCCCTTCTACCCTTCCTTCATACTATCTACTTTGAAGACCTTGTTTGAAGCTTATCTTCTCTGACCAGGACATCGGATCATGCACAATTTTGCATTTCCTTTCTGTGTACCCTATTCTGCGTTTATCGTTCACCCCTTCCCTATTGTCTCCATACCTTTCCTGCTTGTACTTGTTTGTTTCTAGAGATATCCCCTACATACGGCTGCCCATTGAGATACTCAAATTCTGGATCTTAGTTGGACGAGGTGTCGCGCAAGGCCGGTGCCCAGAGGCAGACACGAGGATCAAGTCCCGGTTATCAACGCAGTTTAGATCTGTCCACCGTCCATTGCGCGCTCTCGGCCTTTTTGATTCTGGCTTGTGTATATGCCCGATTAAATTCTCGATAGAATAGACTTCACTTTTAATGCCCACATTCGCGTCAAGGGTATATGAATATGCATAGTAAGCAGAATAGTAAAGCATTTACGAGATCGTAAGCAACATGAGATTTCATGACGAATGTGAAGTGACCCTATGCAGCGCCTACTAGTCACTGCATTTATACCGAAACCACCTACTTACTAGTAGTAGTATATTCCTCCCTCGCAGTTTCCTCTCCCCTTTCCTTCTCCATATCCGCCAACTCATCCCCACGACCACCACCACTTTCAACATCCTTCGGACTGACACTAGCAGCTTCATCTCTCAACCCAATCTCACTCTCCCCGACCTTATCAACCATATCCCGATACGCCGGCACAAAGTTCACCGCGAGGGCATACGTCCACGCCACAACCATGAACATCGTCGGAACGATCATCGCAAAGCCCGTACTATTCCGCATATCGGCTACGTGGCCCAGGATCGGAGGCACGACGGCACCACCGGATACTCCGCCGACAATGAAGCCCGAGCCGCGCTTGTAGTGTCGGCCGAGGCCGCGGATACCTAGTGCGACGATGGTGGGGAAGCAGACGGATTCGAAGAAGAGGGTGCAGAAGAGCATTGCTAGAGATAAGGTTTTTATGTGTTAGTTAGGATGTTGGCTTGGGTTTCTTTTTTTTTTTTTTTGTGTTTGTTTGGACTGGGGTGGATTGATTGATGGGTAGGGTAGATGGGGTGTGTGGGTATGAAACGTACCTATGCCTTTCTGATCACCCTGGGTTATGGATGCGGCGATGAATGCTACAGTCAGTGAGAGATAGGCTAGGAATACCCAGCGGGCTTTGACGAATCTCATGATGATCGCGCCGAGGAATCGACCCATTGCAAAGGCTCCTTGTGCGCCGGCGAGGTATTTGGAGCCGGTGGCGCTGGTGGTTCCGGGCCAGGTTTCGACGACGTAGTTGATGAAGTAGCCTGCGATGGCGACTATGGAGTAGTTAGTGGTGTTAGTGTTCTGGATAATAGCGTGAAGGGTGCGTAAGAAGAAGGGGGCTTTGTACCTTGGGCGCCGGTATAAGTGAACTGTGCCAACGTGGCGTGGAAGAGTTGATACTGTTTCCAGAATGGTTTATCCTGTTCGCCAACGTGCGTTTCGGCTACCTGGAAGGCCATGTCTTGGTCGGTTACTTCGGGGATGGTGGAGATGAAGAAGACGCCGGCAAGAACGAAGACAAAGATGCCAATAGCTAGATATACCCATTGTACTCGTTTGAGAGCGTTCACGTCATCCTCGGTGGATGTGAAGAAGACGTATGATGCTAGGGCTGGTGCAACGCAGGTGCCGATGCCGTTGAATGCCTGGGCGAGATTGATTCGGATCTCGGCGTATTTGGGTGGACCACAGACTGATCGGTCATTTCAGTGATTAGCAGGGGGGGTCTTTTTGTGGAATTTCTTCTCACAGCATCAGCTGGTGATCGGATATGAATGGTTGACTAACCGGTAAGGTAGGGGTTGGCAGCGGTTTCCAACGAACCAAGGCCCGAGCCAATGACGAAGGTAGCGGCGCAGAAGCCACCAAATGATCGGTTGAGGCCTGCAGGCCACATGCAGAGGGCACCGATACCATATAGAGTGAGGCCGAAGATGAAGACGGTTTTGTATCCGAAGTGACGGAGTATGTAGTTTGCATATCCCAAGGACGCAAGTGGATAAGCACTATGACCATCAGTTGAATTGCAACTTGTACGTAGTCTAGCAAATGTCTGACCCAAAGTAGGCTGCTTGAAGACCCGAGGAGCGTGTCCGGGTGATATTCAGAGTGTTTTGGAAGTGTTTGTTGAGAGTGTCGAGTAAGCCGTAGGCAAAGCCCTGTTGAAAGTTGGGTCAGCAGATCGAATCGAGTAATGGCTGGGCTGGTGCACAGCTTACCCAGAGAAAGAAGAGTATAGTAACAAGGGTCAAGGGCCAAAGACTTTGGCGTAAGGTCAGGGTAGCTGCAGAAGTAGTCCTGCTATTGTCGACCCGGAACCCAGACCGGGTCTTGAGAAAGTGTAGGAACCCCATTCTGTGGGGGAGGGAAGATTAAGACCAGAGCAATGATGGAGGAAGGAGAGTACGATAGGTAAGAGCAAGTGAAACTGTAGTAAAGTAAAAGAGAAGTATACCGAAGCAGTAGGAGAAAGGAAAGATTAGCAATGCTTGCAGGGATTCAAGCGCAAAGAAAAAGCCCCAGACATTGGCACCCTGGCACCTTATGTACGACTTCGTTCAGCATGAGGGCATCATCTTTGCAACCCATGTGAGCATATTCCTTGGCATCAACCCAGGAAATACACTCTTTCTCTTCCCCCCAAAGTCCCCCCCCCCTCATTCCCCTCTCACTAGAATTGGTTCTGTAGGCCTAGCCAAGCGTAGAGACGGGCAGTAGCACCGCCATCCCCAGACTTCTTCCCCACAAATCCAGACAATCCTTGGAAAGGATCACCGGTTAGAATCCACTAGTGAGGAGTCGAGACGGGCCGACATCCCATGAGTAGTAGCGCAGCCAATCTCTAGCCGTTAGAGGTCAGCCTGATTGCTCGAGGTGCATTTAATTCAGGGTGACATTCCTCGTGAAGCGCGAGGGTCATGGATGGTGGCGGGTAGCAGCAGCAGCAGCAGCAGCAGCAGCAGCAACCGTGAACTTCATCTCGGCAGTTTCCCCCGCATCGATCTGAGTCTGGTTGGGTGACTTGAGAATAGTTAGCGATGATGGCTTATTGGCTTTGGCTTGCCCTGCTAGTGGCAGAAAGAAAAGGTTAAGGTGGCTTTCCAAGTTCCCTATTTGTCCCTCCATCCTTATATCCTTTTTGCTCTTCTTACTCCGCAGTCGCGGGAATTAGGCTAATAACCTGACTGACAAGACTGACCATGCACGTTCAGCTGCATATGCGACATAATCAGAGCTTGCTGCCTGCTAGCAAGGGGAAAGTCATTGATGTGAGGCCACTAAGTGGATTTAGCCGGGTTCAGCCAGTCGCAAGTGAGATCGCAATTGCTGGGTCCAGAGTACGGGTGGTAGTGCTACTTCTTTCATTTTCAGACAATGGGCGTATGGCCCCTGTCCACGTCACGGGGCCTGGACAACGTGACAGTCAATTACTCCCCAAACTTGTATACGACCAGATAATCACAATTCCGAAGAATGCAGATACAGACACAAGTCGTCTCTTCGTTGTTCTTATGCAATCAGAACATCCAACATGTTTTACGTACATGTAATCAACCACCCAACAGCAGAAAACCAAAATATAACAGGGCTGGAGGGCCGATATCTATATCTATCATCAATGCACCCCCTCATATTCGAGTCATCACTTCGTTGCTCAAATCTACGCCCGCTTAGGCTTCCCCACTCCTCCGTTCTGTTGTTCGACGGTAGATCTTGCTGGGACGTTATTGTACAGACGACGTTCCGCAAACTTGAGAACCTCATCGATGAGCCTAGTTGGTTTCGGTCAGCAAACATTCTCGCCAGGTAGGGGGGATTCAAGAGATTGACTTACACAACCGGGGCACTAATGGCCACGACGGCCTTCCATTCTATCCAGCCCAGGGGCAGGATCGAGAACAAACCCTGCAAGAAGGGCACATACAAGATCGCAAAGTGCAACGCCATCGAAAGGATGATGGCACCGACCAGCATGGGGTTGTGCCAGAGGAAAAACGTAAGAAGGGATTCGCTGGACGAGAGTGCGTTCATGGCGTTCAACATCTCAATGACGACCAGGATCGAAAGAGACACAGTAGAGGCCGAGCGGGACATATCGTTCGAGAACATCTCGCACCCAATCTCAGGGAACTGAGAGGAGCACTTGTGGAAGTGAGACTATACAGATATTAGCAAGACCGGAAAAGAAAAGAAAACAAGTAGACTAGACGACGTATATCTTACCAATTGCCAGAAGGAGATCTGAGGACCCTCAGGGTTGTACACAAACCACCAAACGTAGCCGAAGACAGTAGCCGCACCAACATAAGTACCGATCACCATGTATCTGAACAGAAGCCAGCCGCCAACCAGGGGCTCGTCGCGCTTGCGGGGGGCGCGTCTCATCACATCATGGTCAGGGGGGTTGAAGGAGAGCGCGGTAGCAGGCAAGCCGTCGGTAACAAGGTTGACCCAAAGAAGCTGCACGGGAATCAAAGCTTCAGGCATGCCCAAGGCGGCGGTCAAGAAGATCGACACCACTTCGCCGATGTTCGAAGAGATCAGGTAGCGGATGAACTGCTGAGTGTTGCTATAGATGGAACGTCCCTCTTCCACAGCCACGGTGATGGTGGCAAAGTTGTCGTCAGCCAAAACCATATCAGCAGCCAGCTTTGCAACGTCGGTTCCTGTTCCCATAGCCACACCAATATCCGACTTCTTCAGGGCAGGGGCGTCGTTAACACCGTCACCAGTCATGGCAACCACATGGCCTTGAGATTGGAGAAGATCGACCAGCTTGGACTTGTGGCTAGGCTCGGTGCGTGAAATCAAAGACACAGTCTTAGCAGCCTCGAGTTTCTCAGCCTCCGAAAGGCCGTCGAACTCCCTTCCAGTGAGGCTCTTGCCTTTAAGATCCTCGCCCTCGTGGAAGACACCAATCTGACGGCAGATCGACTCAGCGGTGTTCTGATTGTCACCAGTAATGACGATAACCCGAATTCCAGCATCGTGGCATTTCTTGATGGAAGCCGCGACCTCCACGCGAGGGGGATCGAGCATAGCGACAAGTCCGATAAGAGTCATGTTTTGTTCCAACTGGGCGTAGTCCTGGGACGATTGAGCGTTGTGAAGCAGAGGGTTGTTGTTGACACCGTCGACACTAGCCAGAGCCATCACACGAAGACCGCGGCTACCGTAGCCCACAACTTCAGCAGCGAGCCGGTCAAGATGAGACTTCGTGAGAGAGGCCCGTTTGCCGTCAGCTCCAAGGAGAACATGCGTGCACCGCTCCAAGATAGACTCGGGAGCGCCCTTGACGAGTAGCTTCTGTTCCTTATCATTTCCAATGAGCACGGACATGCTCTTCCGGTCACGCGAGAATTCGTAGGTTGCTTTCAAGGGCAGGCGAGCTTCGTAGTACGCGCTTGCGGCGTGGAGTCGCTGGGAGGCGGGGAGGCGGAACAGCTTCGCATTCGTAGCGGCATCATCAGTGCCAATCTTCTCGACCAGAACACGCAGTGCACCCTCAGTAGGTTCACCGATACAGGAAAATGAGCCATTCTTCGCATCGTGGGCCAAAGTCGCACTGTTACAGCGAGCCATGACCTCCGCCATCTGTCGAACAGTGGCCGAGGATACGGCAAGGTTCAGGAGTTCCTTTCCATCGCGATGGACTTTACCTTCAGGCGCAAAAGTAGTGCCTTCAATATCAATCTCCTCAACACCGTTGCCGGCCGCATTCAAATACGCAATCTTCTCTGCGCTCATTTGGTTGGTGGTCAAGGTTCCGGTCTTGTCGGAGCAGATCACACTGCAGCTGCCGAGAGTCTCAACGGAGGGAAGCGAACGGACGACTGCATTCTTCTGAGCCATCTTGCGGGTACCAAGTGCGAGGCAGGTGGTGATCACCACAGCCAAACCCTCGGGAATGGCAGCCACACCCAGAGACACCGCGATCTTAAGATAGTAGATAGCTCCCTTAGTCCAGCCTCCATGGGAAGGGTCGTTGAAATGCTCGATGTTGATGATCCACACCAGAATACAAATGACGGTAATTACCTTAGCCAGCATGTCTCCGAAATCATCGAGCTTCTGCTTCAGTGGGGTTGGCTCCGAGATCTGAGAGGTGATGCTCTCGTGAATGTCACCAATGGCGGTTGATCCACCGGTCAAGGTCACAATGGCGGTAGCGTGTCCATTAACAACAGTGGTACCAGAGAAAAGCATGTTGGTTTGATCCTGCTTAACGGCCTGCTTGTCATGAACAGTGCGGGCGTCCTTGCTCACACTCTCACTCTCACCGGTCAGGATGGCTTGATCCACTCGGAAGCTGTTGCTGTGAACGGCAAGTAGCCTGCAATCCGCTGGAACACGGTCTCCAACCGCAACAACGACAATATCTCCGGGAACCAGGTCTTCGGCCTTGACACGCTTGGTAACGCCATCACGGACAACAGTAGCTTCGTTTGCAGAGTATTCCTGAAGAGCAGCAATGGCCTTCTCAGCATTGCTCTCCTGGGTAACACCAACCACGGCATTGAGGATCAGAATCGTCAAAATCTATGGTATAACAGGATTCGTTAGTGTCTTGGGTCGAGGCGGCGCCAGACTCGGGAGGCTTTCGAGCTCATACCACAACGGGGTCAACAAAGGCGGACCAGTCATCTCCTTCTTCGAAAAGAGCCAGAACAAAAGATACAGCAGCGGAGCCCAGTAGAATCAGGACCAGTTGGTCCTTGAATTGTTCCAGGACAAGTTGCCAGAGAGGGGTTGGTGGTTCTTCCGCAAGGGCTATGAAGGTTCGAACCGCAAGTTAGTGCCTGCGACATTGCCCATGGGGAAGGAAAGCTGCAACATACCGTTAGGACCGTACTTTTTCCTCGATTGAGAGACCTGCTGTTGCGACAGACCAGAGCTCTCCTTGACGTCAAAATGGTCCAGCACTTCGGCTGGGGAATAAAGGTAGGAGTGCTCCATGTTGTTGAGACCCCGAAAAAGCGCAAGGTGGCCTGGAGCGGGAACAACAGAGAAGAGAGAGAAAAGGAAGGGAAGAGACCGGGGATATAACCCAGATCAAGACATGAACGCCAAGTGGCCGGAAGCTTGGGACCTAGTGAGTGGCACTGCAATCAAGTCGGAGAGGTTAGTCCCTTAGCGGGAAGGATCTAGAAGAGTAGTAGATAGATAGTAGGTTAGGATGGGAAGCGGAAAGCGGACACACCAGATAGTACCGTTGTTAATAATACCGGGCAAGACCAATCAATACACCAGATACCGTCAGCCAAGGAGGGAAGGAAGGAAATGAAGTAAAGTAAGAAAGAAAATAAATAAAAACAGGGTATTCTCTTGGTGTCTTGTGGTTTTCTCAAGAGGATGGCAAAAACTGCTGATTTATAATTTATAAATAAATGCCCCATTCCATACAAGGACCGAATGATGGGCCAGGGATTTTGCCTCTGGGGGCTCGGGAACCGTGAACCAGAGGCGGCTTTGTCAGGCACTCAACGTGTTCTCTTCATTTGCGGTGTCTGGATCTATCTGGTCCCCCCCGTCGCTGCGCCAGAATTGCCGGTTCCAATCCGACAGGGCTGAACCATACCATGACCGTGCTTCTGTGAGTCCGGGCGTTGGAGTCACTTGGCCTGTTTAGTAGTCTTTACGACTGGATTATTACACTCATCTTTCTACATAGGGTTCTATAGCTGTGTGTCTGTTATCTTTCGTATTCATGAAAGTTCATGAAAAATAACTAAGCTGAAGTAAATAACTGATCAAAATAGGAAAAAAGGGTGAAGAAAAAAAAAGAAAAGCAATTAAAAAAGGGACGCATTCTCCCCCCAACATTGCACAGCCTTCTTAATAGTTCTAAATAATCTTCCTACGTATCCATTTTCATTCTCGGCGTTATCTCCCTCAAGTCTCTCCTTCTCTCTTCTCTCTCTGCAAGCGAGAAACCCACCGCTCGGCCATAACAATACCATACACTCTCCACTGCGAAACGATGATGCCTTCCTGGATGACCCCAAGACTCGAACTAAAACCACTCGTCCCATACAATTCGCAGTCATCCTGGTTCATTTGGCGCCCATTTAGCGGGGTCTCACTCCTCGGATTGGAAGGTGCTGCATAACACCGGTGGAGGTAGATTTTGATTCGATTCCGTGCTTTCCGCCATGGTATCGGACCCAGAGCACCTGCCCCAAACAAGTCATCGATCTTCCACCCATCCACACCAAACGGTACGACAGCTTGCCTAGTCCGGCCCTTGTAGACGCCCTGTAGGGCAGAGGGCCCGTCCACACTGCTCCAGAAGGTGATTTCATCATTTCATACCATCTTTCGTTGTATTGGGGATTCTCCTCCTGAAACTCCAATGTCTTGACTCAGCAGCCCGCCTGTTTCGGTGGTTGTTGCAGTCCTGCGTAATCTCCGCTCATGAAGGGTGTATTTAGTAGTAGGGAAACCCATAGTTGTCTTTTAGTTTGCATGGCCAAAAGCACGGTCAGCTTAAAAGGGATAGTAAATTAAGGGTTTCCTTTTTAATCGGGCAATAACCGGTGAACTTGTCAGCTGCCGGGCTCTCAACATCTTTTTTTTTTTTTTTCTTTTTATTTTTATTTTTATTTTTATTTTTATTTTTTTTTTTTCGTCTCGTGCGGTTCTGAATAGACGATCATCGGAGATATGGAGCACAGCTCAGGGTACCACAGCCCGTTGAGGGTGGAGAAGCGCGACGTATAACATCTTCACCGGTTGTGCGGTAGAGAATAACCGGCAGAATAGGACGAACTTGGCAGTTAAAAAGACAAAGGGGACCAGAGCGATGCTGGTCCTGATGAACGGAAGAGCATGATGGTTCATTTCAAGGGGAAAATGAGTATGATCTATCTCCCACATGAACTGGTATCATTAGCCGCCCTCTTATGGTTTTCAACTCTTGCACCCAGGCTCGTGAATTATTAATGGCTGCTTCAGTCGATTCCGGTCATGGATTTCTGGAGATCTCTATTTACAGCTCCTACTATGCTACTATTAATTTCTCCCCGTTTGGGGGATGTTAGGATGTTACTATGCCGCATAATTGGGAGCCTTTCACTAATAATTGAGAGCGACCGCTCAACTAAGGAGGCACTAATCATTAATTGCCTAGTTGGCTTTTAAACCCGGATTGATTATTGTTAGATTACGTCAGGGTCCAGTGACCGGCGGAAGCAGGTGACCAGCAGGAGATTTGCTTGCTGACTCACCATTACACTGCCTGAGGCTGTCAGAGCAAACATCGCAAACAGACGAGGCGCCCGCTTCTCGCTAAAGCTGGCTGGTCGTCACCTTCACCGTCCATCACTCGTTGCTGGAGGATCACATCTGCCAAACCTCTCGTGATTCCCATCTTCTTTTCATCCCATTCTCCGTTGTCTCGTGCTCTACTTCGGTATCTTGCACCTCTACTCTCTCCTTTTCACCCTCTACCAAACCAACCACCGTCTTTCCCAATCCCCTTATCTCCATCAGATCGCCTACTATGACTTCTGAGGTATGTTATTCCACCCCCTCAGCCTGACCCCTCTCTCTGCTCTGGCGGCTTCAACTGGCGTCCGTCCAGTTGCAGTCCGTTTAATCCCTAGCCGCATGTATTCCTATGTCGGGAAATTCTCTTGTGTTTTCTCAGTTGTTGCGTCGCGATTAGTCTGGACTCAGCTAACTGTTCTTCCCCCCCTTTACTTGCAGCGTGAGAAGTAAGGATCCAGACCCGTCTCGACCAGTGACCCGACAACAGCAACACTGACACTACACCCTTCTGCAGCAAGACGTTCCTCGCCCGGCTCTGTGAGCAGGCTGAGCGCTACGATGGTAAGATGCCCGTTTACTGCTCTGCCATGTTGGCTTCACATGCTGATCCCTACCGCCTATAGAGATGGTCACGTACATGAAGGTCAGTAGCCGCCTGTCAGCCCCTGGGCTCTTAACAAGCATAATCGCTAACTCTTGTGCAGGAAGTCGCCAACGTATGACCCCCCTTACCTCCTTCTGACGAGAAGCTCCCCCCTTTTCCCCCCGTAACCCCCTTTTACCCGTGGGTCAAGCTGACCCCGCATCAGATTGGAGGCGAGCTTTCCGTCGATGAGCGTAACCTTCTCTCCGTTGCTTACAAGAACGTGGTCGGTACCCGCCGTGCCTCGTGGCGTATCATCTCCTCCATTGAGCAGAAGGAGGAGTCCAAGGGCTCTGAGCAGCACGTCTCGATCATCCGTGACTACCGCCAGAAGATCGAGACCGAGCTCGAGAGGGTCTGCCAGGATGTCCTCGACGTTCTAGATGAGTCCCTTATCCCCAAGGCCGAGACTGGCGAGTCCAAGGTCTTCTACTACAAGATGTGAGTCTTGGATTAGGGAACGAGCATTTACTGGCAGGTATAAAGAGAGCAGAGGCTGACTGTTGTACGAACTATAGGAAGGGTGACTACCACCGCTACCTCGCTGAGTTTGCCTCTGGCAACAAGCGCAAGGTCGCTGCTACCGCCGCCCACGAGGCTTACAAGGTAAGCTCTTTGAATTGCGTGCTATATCGGAGGACTCGCACTAACAATCATACAGAACGCTACCGATGTCGCCCAGACTGATCTTACCCCTACCCACCCCATCCGCCTTGGTCTCGCCCTGAACTTCTCCGTCTTCTACTACGAGATCCTGAACTCCCCCGATCGTGCCTGCCACCTTGCCAAGCAGGCGTTCGATGACGCCATTGCGGAGCTCGACTCGCTTTCGGAGGAGAGCTACCGTGACAGCACCCTGATCATGCAGCTCCTGCGTGACAACCTCACTCTGTGGACCTCTTCTGATGGCAACGAGGCCGAGGGTGCTGCCCCCAAGGAGGACAAGCCCGAGGAGGAGACCGCCGCTGCCCCCGAGGACAAGGCCGAGGAGCCCAAGCCCGCTGCCCCTGAGTCCTAGAGGGGTGGTGTGTGTTCTTGTGTATCAAAAACAGTTGTGTCCCCGACGTGCCAGTTCAGGTGTGCGAATACTACCCGGAAACGCTTATGAAGGTCTGCTTTTAGCTGTGCGAAGGGTCTGGACCGGCACATATCTTCCACTTGTTCGGGATCCTGTGGGTCGGCCGGCGGAGTTTGATGTTTGGAGAGCGAAGAAAAGGGGCTGAGTGGAATTTACCTCTCTTTTATTCTCTCTTTATTCACCCCCAGCAAGATACAGTGTCTTATTTCCAACTTCTTTATTCACCCCACGCCCCTTTTCCCGATTTCCCCCTGCTGTTTCGCTCGTACGTGTTAAGAGCCTTAAGCTTTACAATATCTCAAATCAAAGTAACCAGTTCTCTCAATCCCATGACCCGATACCTTAACGGGAATCGATTTATCATCGAATGACTGCTAGATTCTGTATCCTTCTCAAGAGCCGCGATCTCATTACTGCTACCACCGTTGGAAGTCTATATTACCGCCGTAAAGATAAATAGCCGCCTTACACACTTACTGCCACCCACTGCCCATACAGAACATATACTACCTCATCACCTCCCAGTATTCGTTAACACTGCGTCCAAGATGAACACTTTATAGTTAATAAAAGCCATAGACTTAGTAATCGAACAACTGTGACAGCTTCTATACTAGCTGGAAATATATGCTACCAACGAATATGCCCGGGAGAGATGAACCATGCTCTATAAACCGTATAAAAAGCCCAATAGCAAAAGATGGAGGAAAAAAAGATAAGAGACAATTTTATATGACGGATATACAAAACAGATGAGGACGGGCGGGACATAGTTTTATATGATGCATGTCAGGGCGCAAGCCGGTCTAGCAAAGATATAGAGAGGATAACTGAGAAGAGCATAGAGAAATAATAGACGAGAAACTAGAAGCAAATGAAGCACGTAAGTTAAGGGGATTTCTTGGTGGTGGTGGTGGTGAGAAGAAGAAAAGGAAATATAAATGTTCTAAATAACAAAATCACATGAAGTCATCGTCATCCAACCCATCATCATCATAAGAGTTGGTTTCAATCCGGTTCTCTCTAGAGGTGACCAGGGAGACCTTGGTCTTGGCCGCCTTGGTCTTCTTGTTACCCTTATCTGCAGCACGCTCCTCCTTCATCTTCTCGTTGCTGAGGGTAGTCAGGGAGGAAGCAATCTTCTTGACATCACCACTGGGCAGGTCCTTGACGAGCTGCTTGATGAAGTCCTGCGCCCACAGAGCATACTGGGGCTTCTTCGACTGAGTGGTCAACAGAGGGATAAGGGTGGTAGTGACGCGGGTGAACTGGTCCTTGGTGGCGGGCTTGAAGAGAGGCATAGCCGAGAGATCGACGGCCTGGGTCGGGTCGGCCGAGTCACTGATGACCACGGCCTTGGGGGCGCTGCGGTTGCGCATACGGTTCAGGTCGATGTCACCGAAGAGGTCCTCGGCGTGCTTGAGGTCAGCATCCTTCTCGGTCTTGCGGAGACGGGCTCTCCGCTCAGCCTCGTCCTCGTCGCTGTCGTCCGAAGTCTCAGCATCGGCATCTGCCTTCCGCTGGGCCTTCTTTTCCTGTATCCGCTGTGCCTTGCTCTTCTTGTTGGCGGCGGCTTCGGCTTCGGCCTTGGCCTTAGCCTCCGCTGCCTTGGCGGCCTTCTCGCGCTCTACTTCGGAATCTTCGGCGGCGTCCCAGGAGTCGAGGACCTAGTTTATTCAGTCAGATTGTGGGGGAAAAGGTGGTGAGGGATTCTTTCAACGACTGAGGCTGAGAGAGACGGCGCGGGGCAGATTGTGAGGCAAAAATGGAAAGGGAGGGGGAGGGGCGGCAAAAAAACTTACATCCTCCTCTTCCTCATCGTCGAACTTGCGGCGGGCAACCACAGGAGGGGGAGAGACACTCTCCTCTTCGTCATCTGAATGAAAACGTCAGTATCGTGAATGGCTTGCCATGTTGTCCCGCAATGTATATTCCTATGGCGGGCGAGGACCACAAAAATCCAAAAGAGGACATACCCCACTTTGAAGGAGCCATGGCGGGCAAAAGTCGTCAAGTTTGGGGCGAAAATGACAAGCTGGAAAGTGAGTTGCGTGGCTGGCAGTGAAGCCGGTGATAAGCGTAAGTCTCACACAGAGGAACTGGTGTCGTTGACGAGGTACTGCTGGAGGAGGGAATTTGTTTGAACGACCGAGTGGCTGATCCCGTGGGGCATGCGGCGTGGTCACGTGCACGCGGGATTGCCCGTGATGCCCAATCTTACTACTTGCTATCTATCAATCTACATTGAACTTGGGGAAAACAATAGGAACTCTCTATATTGAAGGGTGAAAAGAAATATTTTTTTCATTATGTGCCACTAAATTCAATTATTTGGCCTTTGAATTCGTCATCATAAATCTTAATCATCTCTGATGTTTTCGCCGCCTAGTTCCATCCCAACGATGTTGTTCTGCAGCCGCTGGGAAGGGCTAGTGGGGACCGCTAGGGTCTTGCACTGGGTGACATTATACGGAAAATGGCTGCATTTACAGGTTAACGGCAGTGCGGAACTTCTCGCCGGCGTAGACGGCGTTGTCACCGAGCTCCTCCTCGATACGGAGGATCTGGTTCAGCTTAGCCAGACGCTCGGAACGGGCAGGAGCACCGGTCTTGATCTGGCCAGAGCGCAGACCGACAGCAATGTCGGCAATGGTGACATCCTCGGTCTCACCGGAGCGGTGGGAGACCATGACACCCCAGTTGTCAGCGTAGGAGTCCTTGGCAGCCTGGATAGACTCGGTAAGGGTACCGATCTGGTTGACCTTGAGCAGGAGAGCGTTGCAAGACTTGAGCTCAATGGCCTTCTTGATACGCAGGGGGTTGGTGACAGTCAAGTCATCACTGTAGAAATAATCAGTTAGCGACAAATAACCCTAACGGAGAGGTTGCATTGAGAAGGGTACGTACCCGACAATCTGGAAGTCAGAGGTCTTGTAGAAGTAGCTCCAGGCCTCCCAGTCGTCCTCAGCGAAGGGGTCCTCAATGCTGACAATGGGGTACTTGCTGGCAAGGGACTTGTAGAGGTCGGCCAGCTGCTCGTAGGTGAGCCACTTGGAGGAGTCGCTCTCGGGGTTCTTGAAGTCAAGGTCGTACTTCTTGACGTCGGCCTTGTAGAACTCGCTGGAGGCAACGTCCATGGCAATGCTGATCTTGCCAGTGTAACCGGCCTGCTCGATGGACTCGGTGATCAGGTCAAGAGCCTCCTCGGCAGTCTGGATGTCGGGGGCGACACCACCCTCGTCACCAACGTTGCCAGCGGACTGGCCGTACTTCTTCTTGGCAAGAGCCTTGAGCTTCTGGTAGACCTCAGCACCCTGGCGGAGACCCTCAGAGAAGGAAGAGGCAGTGCTACATGCTGGTTAGTGATGCGATCTACTTTGTGAGTGGCATGTCAGCTGCAACTTACTTGGGGACGATCATGAACTCCTGGAAAGCCAGGCGGCCACCAGCGTGGGAACCACCGTTCAGGACGTTCTGGAAGGGAACGGGGAGGACGTAGGGCTTCTTGGTACCAGCAAGGTCGGAGATGTGAGCGTAGAGAGGGATGCCCTTCTCAGCGGCACCGGCCTTGGCGATGGCCAGACTGACACCAAGGATGGCGTTGGCACCGAGGTTGGACTTGTTGGCAGTACCATCGAGCTTGTTGAGGAACTCATCAACCTTGGACTGGTCCTTAACATCGAGGTTCTCCTTGATGACGGCGGGGGCAATGGTCTCGTTGACGTTCTTGACGGCCTTCAGGACACCTAAGTCAAGCAGTGGATGTCAGCTGGATGGAATTGATCACACCAAGGATGTAGAGAAGGATGCTCTAAACTTACCCTTGCCACCCCACATGGTCTTGTCGCCATCGCGGAGCTCGTGAGCCTCGTGCTGGCCTGGATATTGACTGTCAGCATGTCGAATGTAGAGCTGGAGGACAGCAAGGTCCTTGATTGCTTGTTAACTACTAACCAGTGGAAGCACCAGAGGGGACAATGGCACGGTGAAGACCAGTCTCGGTGACAACGTCAACCTCGACGGTGGGGTTACCGCGGGAGTCGTAGACGGAGCGGGCGTGGATCTTGGAGATAGGCATGTTGATGGACTGGGGGGAGGAGAGTTCTGGATCAGTGAAACTGAAAGGAAACGAAGATGGCAAAGAGAGAACAAGGCCCAGATATAAGGGAAAAACGGAGGAGGCAAAAATGTAAGCGCTCCGGACTTGCTGTTTCGGTGTGCACTAGCAGCAGCGGGGGGAGGGTGGTGAGTGTTCACCGAGGACCCAAAAAGAATGAGCGGATGGCGGATGAGTGACGGAGAAGGGAAGGACGGGGAGGGGGGGGGGGAAGGGGAGAGGTGGAGAGGTCCGATCCATCAAATAGACCAGGCTCGGCACAGCCCAAGTTACCCAAACGATCATCTCATCAATGGAATTGGTGCTAAATCCGGACATGCCAGATCATTTGATAGACAGACAAGATGGAGTGATGGGCATATAGACAGGAGGATGTATGGATGGGGTGATGCACATCAACATGGTGGGATGACGGCGGGGTCATGACCCCCAGCTTAGAGAAGTTGGAAGAACAGGAGGAAATGGGCAGGGGGGAGAGATATTAGGAGTGATGTTGATGTTGATGATGATGATGAGTATGAGTATGGGGTAGACAAGTAATACTTACAGGACCTTGAGGATGAAAGTTGTACTAAGTAAGGAAAGAGCTATCTTGAGAGTACTCTAACACAAGAGGAGGAGGGGAGGAGGGGGAAGTAGTAGATAAATAATAAACACGACAACAGACTGTTACAGGCAGGCTATTTCTTGTAAGCTTTCCCACCCCCAAAAGGCGTGCCCCGGGAAAGCTCACGGTCTCGTCCTCCGAATCTTTCCAAGGGAATGGTGGGGCAGACAGCATCAGTCGCTGCTCTCGCTGGCTGAAGCTGTCTCTAGACTCTCAAACTGCTACCCTCCCCAGCGAGATCTTCCGCATTCCCTCGGGGTAAGGCGGGTGTTGCTGCTGAGGACGGGGTTGACGAACTGACAAGGCTCCATGGCTCCTCTTTTCCATGTCTTCTTCCCGACCTGGGTCACGGCTAAAGGTAATAGAAAGTATGATGCTTGTGGTACAGATCGCAGATGCATCCTGTCACCTGTAGGCGCAATAGCCCCTCCTTTTCCACACAACAACAATACGCACCTACCCCTCCATTACAGGTAGTAGTAGCTTCAACTTTCTGTAAATCCTCTAGGACCAATTGAGTGAGTCAGAGTACTACCAATCATATCAATTATGATCTATCTCATACGTTGAGAGAGCATCTTCCACCTGCCCCTCAATGGGTGGGAAAACATCCAGCGTTTTCTTGTCTGGAAACTTCCATTGCGTAATGACGAAAATGCCCGCGGCAAATGGACAAGCCACGGACACCTTGGTGCCTGAGAGGTTACGCCGGATAATAGATACTCCGACAAGTGATAGATTGGTGGCCTTATCTCCCTGCAGCCTAACTATTCAGGCATAAATCCAGGCATACATTGGTGATTATGTCATTGTCAATGAGCCAGCGTCATGTGATCACTGTGAGCTGGTGGCTGCTGTGAGCTCCTCGACAGCTCGCCGAGCTGGATGCAGTAAGACCAAGTACCGTCAACCAGCCCATCCCTTATCAATCCATCTGCATATTCACCCTCCCGGGTCATTACCTTGTTTTCTAAAGACCCCCGGCGATTTTGCTGTTCCGACTTCGCTCTGCTTTTCGGTCTCCCTGATTGCCTTACATCATGAATGGCGCCAGCGATCCGGAGAGAGAGCAGGCGCTCGAGGATTACAAGAGGAGCCTGCTTGAGCTCCGAGAATGGGAAGCCAAGCTCAAGTCCCTTCGCATGGGAATCAAGGATCTGCAACGAGAGTTCGATATCTCTGAAGAGAACATCAAGGCGCTGCAAAGTGTCGGCCAGATCATCGGAGAAGTGTTGAAGCAGCTGGATGAGGAGAGATGTAAGTTTATCTCGATTTCTCATCCCTATGTCATTTATTCCCGGGCAGAAACATGTCCAAAATAAGCCACTCTCTTTACCGATATGTGGGCTGACCTGATTCAGTCATTGTCAAGGCATCATCCGGACCGCGTTATGTCGTCGGTTGCCGCTCGAAGGTCGACAAAGCAAAGCTGAAGCAGGGCACCCGTGTCGCCCTCGATATGACCACACTTACTATAATGAGAATGCTCCCGAGAGAGGTTGATCCGTTGGTATACAACATGTCACTGGAGGACCCAGGCCAGATCAACTTTGCAGGCATTGGTGGTTTGAACGAGCAGATCCGCGAGCTTCGAGAAGTCATTGAGTTGCCGCTCAAGAACCCCGAGCTTTTCCAAAGAGTAGGAATCAAGCCGCCCAAGGGTGTGCTCCTCTACGGTCCTCCCGGTACCGGAAAGACGCTGTTGGCACGAGCAGTGGCAAGCTCAATGGAGACGAACTTCCTGAAAGGTATACATCTCTAGTTCCGGGCGCGGGCTTAGGTAGGCCTAGATCGCTAACTCTGTCCTAGTTGTCTCGTCCGCTATTGTCGACAAGTACATCGGTGAATCTGCACGGTTAATAAGAGAGATGTTCGGATACGCCAAAGAACACGAGCCTTGCATTATCTTCATGGACGAAATCGACGCTATCGGTGGAAGGCGTTTCTCGGAGGGTACCTCGGCTGATCGAGAAATCCAGCGTACACTGATGGAGCTTCTCAACCAGCTGGATGGTTTCGATTACCTTGGAAAGACGAAGATCATTATGGCTACGAATCGGCCCGACACGCTTGACCCGGCTCTGCTGCGAGCCGGTCGTCTCGACCGCAAGATCGAAATTCCCCTGCCCAACGAGGTCGGTCGTCTGGAGATCTTGAAGATCCACTCCAGCACCGTTCAACTGGATGGTGAGATCGACTTTGAAAGTGTGGTGAAGATGAGCGACGGACTTAACGGTGCTGATCTTCGCAACGTTGTTACGGAAGCGTATGTCTATCACTCATCATTGCTCTGCCTTTTTGTTTTGTACATGAATAGGACTAACATGGAGACACAGTGGTCTATTTGCTATCAAGGATTACCGGGATGCGATCAACCAGGATGACTTCAACAGAGCGGTCCGCAAGGTGGCTGAGGCGAAGAAGCTGGAGGGCAAGCTGGAATACCAGAAGTTGTAGTTCCCGCTTGATTGAATGTAGAAAGCTATTATTTCCAACTTATGGGGAAGCCAAACCCCCAATCTGCCTATGCTCATCTAATGTACACAATCCGTGCAGTGATAATGCCGTGCAGTTTGCAGCCTTGTACGTAAAGTAGTAGGTACGGTTTAAGTGGTAACCCAATTAATCACATGGGAGATTTCCCCACAAACTAGTAGGCAAAGAAGGTGCATAGACCCGGGGCATTGGACCCTGACCGGGTAAACATAATGTCTGCCATGGGTTGTAACTGACAATCGAGCTTGAGTACCAGTATTGATGACGATGATGGCTTCCTCTCCAGATTCTGTGAATATGCCGCCCGTTCGTCGCCAAGGCCGCGACCAAGGATCGGCATCCATGCGCTGAGGACAAGTTGAGCTAGGCGCCACATGGGCTTTACACGCGTCCATCGGAATGGCTGTCCTCACTTTTATGTAATGCTCGAATCAGTTTCCCTAGGCGCCGAAACATCTTCTCGGAATAGTTGACACCTGTTCAGTATCTTACTGTCCAGGAACCATCGATGGCCTATTAGTGTGCATCGGGAGACAGTCCGCGGAGATCAACAGACCCAACTTGCGACCGGTCATCTTAAATCGCAAAGAGATCAAATGCTTGGTTCAATCGGGGGCCTGCTAACTTTATCGGTAATCTTGCCATTTACTCCTGGGAGCTCACTATCGCTGCAGCAATTCACAGTGCTTCTTTGGCTAACCGTTGAATGGTCCTCTCATTTTTCCTACTAGATCTAAAACCGTTCGCCCCGTTAACTATAGTCTTGCCGCGATACTGACTACTACTTTTGGGGCTTACCCCAGACTACCTATTCACCTACCTACGAACGAACGACGTATCCTGTAACCAGACGTCCTTGCCTGAGCACCAGCCTCAATCCGAGACAAGACACTGAACCTATGCGAATAAATCCGACAGGCCACATATTGTCTCGGACTTAGAGCGCATCAGAGGTGTGGTCCTCCCTCGGTAGAGGACAGATATAGTAGTAGAAGCTTGGCGGTGGTGGTCATGTCTTTCCAGGCCCCTCGGAACAGTTCTCCATTTTCGTCTCAGCAACCGTTCCAGAATAATTACTGGCGTGCTAGTCGAAGCCCTGGGACCAACGGGCTGCCTGGCTATGGGTTTTCGCCACCGACTGGTATCTCCAACTCCCTGAACAATCCCCTCGCCGGCGACCGCACTCTCCCCATGTACAAGGATAAACCCTACTTCGCACCACGACGCACCGGTCCGAGAGCCAGGCGGCGGAAGATCATATATAGCGGACTATGTCTGTTGGTTCTGCTCGCTCTGTGGTACTACTCTGGCTCTGGTCAGCCGGAATGGAAGACACCAGACGCGGAGAAGGGCGCCGAGCTCTGGAAGTGGGTGCAAAGTTTTGAGGAGTCGGAACCGCCATACGATGGCAGTGCAGTGACAGAGAAGATTGACTGGGAAGCAAGGAGGGAGAAAGTCCGCGACGTCTTCATTGTCAGTTGGGATGGTTATGCAGCTCATGCGTGGGGTATGTTTCTGAATGGAAATAATCTTTGGTTCTTGGATGTGGTGACTGACAATGGCTTTGTCCGCTGGTGATTAGGTTACGATGAATACCACCCTATCGCCAAAAACGGCCGGCACATGATTGAAGGAGGAATGGGGTGGATAATTGTTGATGCGCTGGACACGTTGATGATTATGAACCTGACGACGCGAGTGCAACATGCCCGCAGCTGGATTCACAACTCGTTGCAATACAACCAGGACCACGATGTGAATACCTTTGAGACTACCATTCGCATGCTGGGAGGCTTACTTTCCGCACACTATCTCTCCACGAACTATCCCGAGTTGGCTCCGCTTACGGATGACGATACAGGCGCGCCGGGAGAAGACTTGTATATCGAGAAGGCCACCGATCTGGCAGATCGTCTATTGGGCGCCTTCGAGTCCGGCACTGGAATTCCGTATGCAAGTATCAATCTCAACAAATCGGAGGGCCTCCCCTCGTATGCGGATAATGGCGCCTCATCTACTGCCGAAGCAACTACTCTCCAGCTGGAGTTTAAGTACTTGGCCAAGCTGACGGGGGAGGCCGAGTACTGGCAGGCTGTGGAGAAGGTCATGGAGGTCGTGGACGATCAGAAGATGGAAGACGGATTGCTTCCGATCTACGTATATCCAGAGACCGGCGAGTTCAAAGGCGATAACATCCGTCTCGGCAGCAGAGGCGATTCATACTACGGTATATACCCAGCTGGTTCCATGCGTTAATTTCAATGCGCTGACTGATGGCTTCTAGAATACCTTATCAAGCAGTACCTCCAAACGCAGGAGACTGAACCGATCTACAAGGACATGTGGGATGAGTCCCTCGTTGGCGTGCGCAAGCACCTAATCACCTACACACAGAATGCCAAATTGACCGTCCTGGGCGAACGACCTGCCGGGCTGCACGGAGTCCTTTCCCCAAAGATGGACCACCTAGTCTGCTTCTACCCCGGCACCATCGCCCTCGCAGCAACCGGCGGGCGTCCTCTTTCCGAGGCAAGACAGTCACCCGACTGGGGCCAACGCCAGGAGGAAGAGATTCTCCTCGCCCGAGAACTAACCAAGACCTGCTGGGCAACGTACCTGATCACGAAGACCGGCCTCGCACCAGAGATCACCTACTTCAATGTAGACGACCCCCGTGTTATGGAGACAGACATGTACCCAGAATCGACGATTGCCAACCCCAGCGCAGGCCAGCAAAAAGCCTCTGGCGAACTTCCCCTCCTTTCCAAATCCATTTACCCCGTCAGCGACTACTCCACCAAATGGCGCGATGACCTCAACATCCACAAACAAGATCGCCACAACCTCCAACGCCCAGAGACCGTCGAATCCCTCTTCTACATGTACCGCATCACTGGAGACGACATCTACCGGCACTGGGGCTGGGAGATGTTCAAGTCCTTCGTCAAGCACACCGCCGTGGTCGAGGACATCCCTGTTGATGAACTCAGCAAAGAAGACGTATTCAGCTCAACATCATCATCGGAGGCAAAAGAAGACGACGGAAACCGACAAAAGTCGAAACCACAGAAAATCACCGGCTTCACCTCACTTTCAAACGCCGATGACGACCCCCCAGTGAAGCGCGACAACATGGAGAGTTTCTGGATGGCAGAGACGCTCAAATACTTCTACCTGCTCTTCTCGGACCGCGACTTCATCTCTCTGGAAGAACATGTCTTTAACACAGAAGCACACCCTCTCCCGCGGTTCAAGCCGACGGGCGAGTTGAAGACCGGGTGGATGAGGAAGAGTCGGGCGATAACGACACCCAGTGAGGAAGTGGAGGAGTCGGTATAATTTTCTTTTGACTATCTATTTTCTTTTCTTTTCTTTTTTTTTTTTTTTTCTCTTATACATCTCTTGGACTATATTTCCTTGGGGTTACCAAAATACAAGAAATATGCCGTGAATTGATTTATCGCCTCTTGATTTTGTCTGATGCTTGCTTTCTATACTTGAGTACTGTTAGTATATATTGCTCCTGCATTCTGGCTTGTTGCATCATCCGAGGCAGGCACTTGGGTTTATTTGTCTACCACTTTCATTATCTACCAATTTTGGCTTTATACATCTGGCATTACTACTAGTGTTACTCCTAGTAGTAGGATTTGCTATTTCATGACTTAGTTGGCTTCGGATTGAATGTCTGTCTGTACGATAGATCCTCAGGTACATATATTAACTTTTCTGTGGGTGTATATATCCTATGTACAGAATATACGTACTAGTAGTAAGCGGAGAGAAACAATCGTTATCGTTTCCTCGTTATATGTACACGTCGTGGCTAGCCGGCTGGTTAATGGCTAGCTGCGTCACTTTCTAAGTCCTGCGAGCCCGCTGCACAGCAGCCTCAATGAGCCGCTTGTACCCACGGACCGCCTCCTCCAACTGTCCGACAGTGATAGCCTCATTATCACCATGCGCTACATGGATACTACCCGGGCCATACAGATAGCGCTTTACTCCATCGGAGACCTTCAGGTTCGGCACATCCGTACCATAGTTCACCGTGGTGATCTCAAATCCGGGGACGTCTGTGTCCAGGTCCTGAGGTGCGTACCCACCAGAATACGCAGCAAAATCGCAGTACACATGCTCATCACCACCAGTGGCATTTCTCACCGCACGTGCAACAATGTCCCTCGCCTCGTCGGGCGTGCCCGCCGCCAGACGGATCGCCACTTCAGCGATCGCGGATGAGGGCACTACGTTGGCCGCGACGCCAGCGTCCACGCGCCCAATGTTCACGGTCGTTTCGCCGTATTTATCGCTCGCGGGAAGTCCGCCCTCCGCTTCTGGGATCTTGCCAAGACGATCGACCCGCGATAGAGCGGGCAGGAGGGCAGAGATGGCGCTGCTACCAAGCCAGGGGTATCCCGAGTGAGCGGCTTGGCCAGTTGCAATGATGGGGAACTCCAGCATGCCTTTGTGGCCGGCGACGAGAGCCTGCTCGGTGGGTTCACCGAAGATGACGGTGTGGTAGGGGGACGGGGAAGGGTTGAGAGTGGAGTTGTCGGAGAAGGTGCGCATGCCGAGGCCACCGACTTCTTCGTCGACAACGAAGAGGAGGCCTAGGCTAGCGGATGGGTTGGATTCGAGGGTATCGAGGACGGCGAAGATCTGGGCGGCGACGCTGGCTTTGGCGTCTACGGTGCCGCGGCCGGAGATGAGGATGTTGGAGTTGTTGTTTGCGTCATCATGGAGCCCATAGGGGATGAAGGGGGGTACGGTGTCGATGTGGCTGGTCAGGAGGATCTCAGGGCGGTCTTGGGAAGGCGAGGTGGATGGGTAGGCGAAGATGTTGAAGCGGTTGGGGTCGCCTTTGGAGGATGAGGGGACGGGCTGCTTGATGACGGTGAAGTTGTGCGATTCGAGGAATTCCGCCACGAAGGTGCCTACGGCCGTCTCGTTACCAGAGACGGAGGGGATCTGGACGATGTCGCGGTGGAATGAGAGGAAAGGCGAAGCGTCGATGATGTCGGACGCGGTGGAGGCGAGGGACAAGAGGGTCTGCGGGGAGGCAGCCGAGGCTACGCCGACGGCCGCGAGAAGAGAGATGGGGGATTTCATGGTTCTAGGTGGCTAAGGGTGAGTGGGAAAGGGTAAAGGCATTCCCTGGATGAAGGATGGAGGTCAATTGGCTGATGAGAGGGAGACTGTCGAGGGGGACAGGGATGGGGAAGAATTGTTTTGTGATGCTGGGATGAGGAGTCAATGGAATGCAGGATTGATTGAAGCGCGATTTGGAGATAAGCCATTTATGCCTGAGGATACAGGCAGCATTCAGGCAGGAGTGAGTCAGTCGGTCTGGACCTGCCTAATGGGGGTTAGTGTCTGGTCACGCCATTCCTTCTAGTAAATGAATCTATCTGTAAGATGGATTGTTGTATAGATCACCAGCAGGATACAGAAGAATGCACCATGATGCATATACACACTACACAGCACTTTTACTTGCTAGATGCACAGAAGAGCGATGAAGGGTCCTGCTTGGACTGGTGCTCCACCAACCAACATCATGATGTAGAATCAACTGGAAATAGAAACGATCCGCTCAATTAACTTCTGCAGTCGGCCGAATCGTCAAGAATACCTAAATCTCCTCGAGAATTGGCGGAATGACGTCCCTGGAAATCCCTTTCTTCCGCAGTGTACAGAACACAACTATACAGCACTTTTTGTCCGATCGCCATCATGCATCTTTGAGAATGAAGTACTGAAGGATTGGAACAGGCGGCAATTAACAAAACATCCCGATCGTCATTGCCGGCCGTCAACAGATATGCTCAGTTGCTCACAAAGCATGGCGCCAAGATCCCTTACCGTTGGAGTTTTCCGCGGAACAGCGCCGGACTTCCACCCGCTCGAATAGCATTCTTGATGCGGTCGAGCTGGACTGAACCAAGGAAGAGAACATCAGAGTTGAGGGAGGCAAGGTTCCCGGTCGGTTGGCGCTGAAGCCATGTGGATCTGACGTCGGCACCAGACCTTTGAATGCTCACATTCTCACACATACACACAGAGAGAAGAGAATCACTAATCAGAATTTACTGTAGAAGGCAAGTTGAGGGATCCCATTCTTGTTCTACCTCGTCCCCACCGCTGACTTGGCTCTCGCTTTCTACTGTATAGTAGGAAGTTTACTAGTTAGTTGATACAGAAACAATAGTCATCATAACAGGAAGGTAGAAAATAATATCATCATCATCAGAGCTGGGGGCGCGGTCCAGTACCCAAGCAGTGCCACGGCGAGATTCTCAATCTCTCTTGTGTTCCCTCACGCATTGAAGCACAACAGCTCCGGCCACTGCAAACTATTCATTCCCACACCCCCTGCTGTCTTCCCTTCCTTTTATTCCAATCTGCTGTTCCGTCGGGACTGGTCCGATGTCAAATCTATAGTGTGGGAGAGGATGGTTGATAGGTCGTCGTACTTTCGGGGACTCTACTTGGTCCCTGAAGGGGTATGACGACGGGGTTGAGGGGTCGCACAGCGCGTTCACAAGCAGTAAAGGAATGGAGCTCTGTCTATCCGATGGGGGCATGCTCTGTGTTGGACCAGTCGAGTCGGTCAGAGTCTAGACAACATCCTCTCCAGTCCCCACTACCCTCGCTGGGTTCCCTTGTTCGTCCGGCTTCTCTGTCCGTCTCCATCCTCGCTTGCTGTGTTGGAGACGGCGCCGATGTGCAGCCGTTGAAACCTGTCTGAGGGAGGATTCAGACATTCACCATCCACACCCAAACACACACACACTACACCAACTCACAACTGCAAATTGGGATTCATTATTCGATGCAAGTTCTTTTTTGAACCATCCCAGTCGACTCAGTTGCCGAGCTGCTCACGGATTAGTACATACGGAACACTACCACTACTACCGACTTACTACTTACCGGAGTAGCCATTCGACCGCGTGTCTTCTCCGACCCACGATGGCCACAGAAGCCCAAAGAACAATTGCGAGCCATGGCCACTGAGGCCCGATCCATGGTTCCCCAGCCACGGAGCGAAACGGAGCCCTCACAGGCCTGTCTAAGTTTGTGTAAACCCGACGATCATCCTGACTGTGGTTAACTGGTTCCTCTGGTTCTGTGGTTTCAGCCTGTGGTTCTGGTTTTTCTCCCCTCTAAAATCTATTCCCTGTTTCCTTTTCTTTTTTCTATTTTTTGCCCATCGACAGCCCTAAAACTGGCCTGTCAGATGGCTGGGTCGACAGGGAAAAATTGGGCCCAGTCAGCAGGCTAGATAGCTCCGATAGAAGGAGAATTTAGTGACGATGGGCTAAGACTGCGATCCAATGGATCAACTGGGGCAACGTTCTAAAGGAAAAAGGTCGACTGGATGCTGTCCAAAAAAAAGAAAAAACCGGTCTAATTTGTCAAGTGTCACAAGAAGATTTTCATCGCATCGCGGCGTGTAGAATATTAGCTATCAATAATGAAGCAACATTCCTGACACACACACGCATTCTCTCTCTCTCTCGCTCGCTCACACTCTTGCACTGGGTTGTAGACATTGTTGTTATTGTTGATATTTGCCTATACGTGCTTTGTCTGTGCTCCCAGATCTCTTTCATTCTCATCGCCTCCTCTTTTTCCTCTTCTCCTCATCCTTCCCCTCTTCTCGCCCCCTCATCAGTTACTCGACTCTTCTTCTTCTCTTCTCTTACTCTATCCTCTCACATCATATCTTCTCATCCTATTCCTATCTCCTAGATTCCTAAAACACCCTTTCTTCTCTCCCCTCCGCAAGCATTCCTTCAATATCCTCCCTGTCTACCTCCAACCTCCCCCCCTTGAGTCGGATCCTGTGACCTCACCGCAATCATCAGCCTCCGATTGACTGCGGCCCACTGAGCTGTCAGCCGCGTCCTTTTGGGCCTCACGAACAATCCCGGCCAGTTGTTTGTTGACTGGGTGCTGCGACAGGCTCCACGTCTTGCCTGCCCTACCAGCGCGGACGGATTCTCGGCGTCTCCTTCCTTCAGGCCGTACTTCTTCAATCCGGGCCAAGCCTGTCAGTCAATCAATCAATCTCAAGCAGTCAGCGTCAGTCAGAAAGCCCAGTCAGTTGCGCTTTCTCCATCTCTTCTCTGTTCATCAGAGCCTGTCGCTGCTTCTGTTACTGCAAGGCAATCTCGCGATTCCACCGCCACGCCACGTCGTCACAGACCAACTTCGTTCCTCGTGAACAATAAAGGCGCTCTTCCCGGGGCTCGTGGCATCTCTTTGGTCCGATCGATCGTCCTTTCTTTTTCCTTCTCCCTCTCTCCCCTCTCACTTCTTTGAACCGCCTTTTCTTGGTAGTTCAAACAAACAAACAAACAAAAAAGAAAAAGAATTCTCCCCCGCCGGTCTGGGCAATTAATCGAACACCGGATGATGTTCCGTCCGCCTTCAAATTGACTCCGTTCTGTCCTCCCCTGCGTTTCGCGTTGTTCCTCCTCACGTCCGTTTCGCCCTGTTCCGGCACGTGAAGTGGAAGCCTCACCATCTGCGCGATCTTCAGTCACCGCCAGCCTGACTACCACGCTAGTAGTCTTGACTCGTCCATCATGTTAAAACCCGCCCAGTTTCTAGATACCAGACGGCGCGATAGTTTTGAAACCATGGCTGAGTCGTCCCCGTCATCTCGCCAGCCTCCGTCGCCCTGGACCACCACCTCCTCCACGCCTGTTTCACCCGCTGTGTCTCTTTTCTCTGCCAAGGGCCACACGCGCTTTTCCAGCTCGGTTTCGTCCCTGGTTTCATCCCCGGGGCACGGAAACTCGATGGAGAGCCCGTCGCGGAATCCCTTGACAGGAGTGAAGGAAGAACCCTGTGGGTCTCCGCCCAGGGACCTCGAGGAGGATTATTTCCGTATGTTACTTGCCCTTGCTCCCAGCCCCCGTGCCTTTTTCTCCTTTTCTCCTGCTTTATTCTCCGATATCCGTCTCCTCGTTCGCTAATCGATTCCTGTCCACAGAACACTTTGACCAAGGTCTCTCGGTCGCCGAGGATTCATACTACGCTTCTTTCGATGCTTCTGACAGCTACGATCTAACGGATGCCGGCATGGATCTTGCACATTCGCCCAGGAATCGACGCTCTGATAGTATCTCCGCCCGGGGTCTTTCGCGCATCGGCTCCCGAATCTCCACCATCTCCACTCGCTGGAAGTCCAAACGTGCCTCCGATGGCCCGGACGGTGCAGATGTATTCGCAACACAGCTGCGTTCCCGCACTAATTCAGCATCATCCGCCATAGCCAGTCCCACTACGGGTTCTTTCACTCGCGTCAATTCGATCCAGGTTCCTCCATCACCCGCCAGGACTATCTTTGAGGAGGCCATCAGCGAAGCCGGTACGCAACCTATTGATATCAGCAAAGCCAACCGGTACAGCCAGGAAGAGGATTCGGCCCCTCAAGCAACGACTCCCCTACTGCCACCGTTCATGGGCGACGAATCATCCTACCAGACCGCGTCTCGCGTCCATTCTCCGTTACAATCCCCTTCAGTAGCCGACAATATGGTAGATGACGGCCCAGTTGTCTGCAGCGCTGTCGCCGATCTGCGATTAGCAGGCTTACCTTCACCACCCCTCTCGTCCAAGCCATCTGTCGCATCGTTCAATCGTCCACGAGCCAGTACAGTGCGGACTGTTTCGGGAGATGCGCCTCCATTCACGCTCTCCGACCCAAATGACGAGTGGGCGAACAGACTCGGTCATGCCAACTTTACCATCCAGCCGGAGCCTTATGTACCCGAGACCTGTGACTTGGGAACGTTTGGGCAGCTGCGCGCAGATTGGGACCTGGCTCAGTGCAACTTCATGCGCCATCTCGTGCGGACTGGCGAACATTATGGCGTTACTTCCACGATCTACAAGCTCACCGAAGAGAAGTGGGAGTCCATCAATCGCGAATGGCGCCGCCATCATGAGGCGATGCTATCTGAGCTAGAAGTGACAGAGGGACCCCGTCTTAGTTTGATGAAGTCCCACTGTGACCCTTGCGACCCGGTCAAAATCCCTCGCCTTCACGACAACAAGTTCCCCGAGCTAGGCGATGGCGAGATCGTGGGTCCTATGAAAATCGCTCCAGCAGCGAATGGATCCGGACTATGTCGCACCCGTTCGTTGAAACGCAACTTTGTCAAGTTCTTCCAGGATCTCGTTATTCGGTCCTGATTTGACTGCCTTGACACGAACATGGAAACAATTAATGACCATAGACAGACTGCGGGAGGCTTACGATGTATACCATCCTACGACTTTTCTTAACGCCTCTCGAACGATTGATTCAGCGAGTGATGACTTATGCCTCTCCTATAGTATACATGTTTCGACGGATATGTTTTTATCTTTTGTTTTATTCTCTGTTTCTGTTCATGATCTGTGATTGCATAATGATGACTGATGACCTGTGCACCTGCGACTACTGACTCGCAGAGTGCAGTCCGTTCCTTAATGTTTGATCTCTCTGCATATGTACCCTCTTCCCCTGTTGTTAAATACTTGTTCGCGCCAACATGTATTGATAATGCTGTACACTGCCCAGCTTCTCCTTTATGTGTTCTCTCTGTCGGCGATGCATTCCTTGCGTCATTGTCCTTGGCACAAAAAGTAACCGTTGGGTTGCACCGTCTAATGACTGGAGAGGGGAAAGTCTGTGGATGCAAAGACAGGGGAAAGAGGGGAGCATGAAGCAGAAGAAGAATTACGATTGTTGAAAGCAAAAGTGGCTGGGTTACCCAGCAAAAAGGGAAACGAAACCATTGCAAGGGCGCTTCCTGGTGTTCTGTTCTGTCTTATACCCCAAGGCATGGTTCTTCATTCATTTATCCTACTTGAAATTCTACGTTTTGCTGCCCCTTCCACAAAAAGCCAAAAGCATACCTATTATAGATACATGCCTGTTCTCTGTTCGCGTTTTTGTACACCCCAGTGTATTATATACAGATACTACTATTAGATACTACCTAACTAGACCTACATATAACTACATATCAGTACTACTTATGACTCACCCACCACCTTGGCACTCTAACTAATTATGATGCCTTCAATTCCCAACGGATAATTATGGTTCCCCGCCCTTGCTTTTCCACATGCAATGCATATGCAGTGTACTTTTGTTTCCCCCCTCTCCCCTCCCTCAATCATACATACAGTAGTAGTATGTATGTATGTATGTAGTCCACAGTTACTCAACCCCCCCTCCCCTCAAAGGACCAGCCAGCCAGCTAGCCAGCCAGCCAGGGTCAGGACTCAGGTCAGACAAGTCGCCTGATGCATACATGTATGCGCGGGGTCGACCGTCTTTTTCCATTCCCACCCCCTCCCCCCTCCTCCCTTCGACAGCCACCCGAATCGAGTAACTCGTACCGCGCACATGTAGCGTAAACTAAGTTCTTACATTAGTTATCTGGTGGCTAGCTAGCTAGGTAGGGTTTGGCAGATCGCTCGTTCGGCCATTTACATTGATTGTTCTTTTTCTTCAGCCATGCATGCATGCTTGCTTGCATTTCATTCCCGCTAGACTAGATAGATAGATAGAACGCCTAGATCAGGACTGGATTAGCCTGTCGCTGCATATGAATGACTACGTAGGCAGCAGCAGCTGTAATAGCAGTAGTAGTAGGTAGCTGGATTTGTTTATGGGTGGTAGTCTAGTTGAGCTGAGCTGAGCTAAGCTAAGCTGTGTTCCCATGATTGCTTTCTTATGGAACACTGTTCTATGAATGCTAGTAGGTTTGCTGGGCGAGTAGATACTACATAGAATAGTTGTCTTCACACCCAGTACTGGCCCCATAACCTTTTGGCGGACTCGTCTCCTCGGAAGCGGAATTCCACGCGGATGATGTCCTGAAAGCCTTCTTCCATTGACGGTTCTTTGAATCGGCGGAGGAAATCTCCAAAGGCGATTCCGGGGAGAAGGGTGCGTGATTCGGGGTTCTGGGTATTGGATGGAGGATTAGTGTTGAATGTACATGGACTAATGGATCGGTGTATGTATGCATGTATGGGTATAGGTGTGTCTGATGATCTGATAATACACATGTGATCGTTGGGGAAGATGGTAGTGATGGGTGGAGTTGGTATAACCACCACCTACCTCCATTCGAACGACTCGAATGGGGAGAGGACAAGCTATAGGTTTGAGTGGGAGGGGAAGAGGGGACAATGGGGATGCAGTGCACGCGCATCTTCATCTCGCACGGACTTACCAAGGTTTGATTTGCGGCACGGACCGCATTGTTATGCCGGCAGAGGGCCGGGGAAGCCGTGAAATAGACACAACGAATCGGGACGTTGAATTCCTTAGCGACTTCTACCCAGTGGGATCTGGTTTCCGGGTCGGCGTTGGTGTTGTCTGTGCGTCTGATCAGCGACGAAATCTAACCGTTCGTGCATTTGCAATAACACCGTGGTTACTGAGGAAGAGGGGGGATGGATCGCAATATGGGCTAGGGTTGGTGTAGCCTGGCTAGACTCGAGCCCGGGAAATCGACGATTTAGACCGTCGGAGTGTCAATGCAAGGGTGGGTGGGTTGGTCTCTTGGGGAAAGACTGCCCCGTTCATAACGTTCACGTACCGACAACCACAGATCTTCCGGCTGCAAGGTGTTCCTTTGCCACTTTGATGCACTTAGGGCGCTGTGTTTAAACGGCTGGTTAGATGATAGATTATGCAATCTTGGTAGTACATAGATGTGGGTTGGTCGTTGAGGCGTCTATCTGCTGCGCGAGCGAAGCCCCTGCCACTTGTGGGCTTGGCGTAGAAGGGGGTGTTGGAAGGAAGTAACCCGTATAAGGGCTGAAGATATAATGAAGAAAACGTACAGTTTTGAGCAGGTCTTGGTTAACTCGTTCGTATTTCAGCGGTTCTAGATATTCCCAGTAGAATGAGGATTTGCCCGCCCCAGGGCTGCCGCAGAATATCACCAGCTCGAGAGGACTCTGGCGAGAGAAAGGTGGCGCCACTGCAGCATGCAAGACAAGTTGTCAATAGGGTACTCTGATGGTCGATTCACAATCACCCCGTGCATTGAGACTCACCGTCGTCAGTTGGCTCTGCTTGCAGGTATTTTGTCGGATCGAACGGTTCCACGAGTGGCTCTGGGTCAGCATTGAGGAAGAACTCCTCGGGCGTCTTAAAGGGTACTTTAACATTGAGAGCAAATCCGCTTGAACCGCCGTTAGCGTATCAAGCCCGTGAGTGTGCTTCAAAAGGCCAGCCCTACCGGTCGACCATGGAATGATCGTTCGGCCGTCCAGCAGCGTCCCCTACAAAAACGGACTCTGCCAGATTGACCCCCGACACATCAAAGTCATAGTCATCGAGCATCTCCTTCCATAGACCTGTCCTGGGTTTCCTATATTCGTCATCTTCTGTGGCCGCATATACACTGAGAGGGATGTCCAGTTGCTTCATGACAGCCGACGCCCTCTCCTTGAAGTTGACAAGGCTCTTGGAGTCGCTCTGGCCTTTCTTAAGATCTTTCTTGAGACTGATCTTTTTTTGATTCGTTACGACCACCACGTAGTATCTGCACAGAAGAGAGTTCAATATCCTGTTGTCCGGAAGCTGCCCGATCAGGGAACTATAAGCCAACCTACTACATACCCATTGTCGTTCAATTCCTTGAGTTTCCCAGGTACTGTATCATGCCACCACTTCCAATCCGACCCATTCCTGGGGAAAGTATTTCCAGAGGCTGTCGAGACGAGCGTTGAATCCTAGGTGCGATCACCTAGTCAGTCTCGGGCTCGTGCAATGATATACCGCGCTGAACGGTCTGGTTTTCAACTGACCAGGTCAAATGCCGCGATCCTAGGCTTCTCTGTACTATTTTTGTGACCGAGTTCCGAAGTATACTTGCCAATGACGGCACTGTTATTGACAATGCGCCAAGTGATTTGTTCGGGCTTTTTCTGAGATGCCGGAGTAAAGAAGGAGGAAACAGCTTTTTCTAGTATTTATTAACCCTATTAGTATAGAGACGTACGAAAACAGAATAGGTGTGCCTCACTAGTTATGGTAGACTCAACCTTCCTTTTGAGTGGAGGCGGCGAAATAGCTCGAGTGGGGGAAGCTGTACGTTTGACGCCCCCGCCGCCGGCCATCCTGAGATACTGGAGTCTGAAAATAATCTTGAATATGTTTACCGGGTACCGTGGTTCTGAATCTAGCCGAAAGAGAGATAAACTGCGACTGGATGGCTCGAACTGGTGTCGGATTCAAGAAAGCGGAAGTCGACGCGCTGACGCGCGCCTGAACTTCGCGAAGTCACATGCTTATATTGACGGCTCATTGCACCCATACAGTTGATGGATGCTACAACTGCACCGCTGACATCAATTGAATCAAGCCAGGTGTATGTTTTCAACTAAAGTTTGCTTTTCCAAAAAAGATCTCAGCACTATGTTTTTAAGGCTCCTAATGACAGATTTGAATTTCGAATGATTTATCTACTGAGAGCCATCAACTCCGGGGTATATAGCACGGCTAAAAAGATATGATAATACATGATTACTTCGCTCGCGTATCCAGAGACAGCCGATCCGCCATCTCTAGACGGACGGCCGACTTGAGCTGCTCGCGAAGCCCGAACAAATGCTGCGACGCCATCCTCATCATCTCCTGATTCCCGCCGTCCTGGACGGTGATAGCAGCTTGCAGGACATAGCTCCCTGTCCGTTCCAGCGGTGAGAGTTCCTGATAAGCAGGCAGCTGCCGACGAGGTCCATGTGATTCTTGCGTCCCAGTCGGGTAAAGCAGGACACGGTGTAGGAAGATAACGATGTCATTGAGAACAAAGACATCCCCTTCCACCACGTACTCAGTGACAAAGCTGAACCCAGTTTGTCAGCTGACTAGGACCAATCAAGATACGAAGGAGCTGGATATGCGCCGAGGAGTACGGGATGCTACTAACCTATAGCCCCAGGCATTCATGGGCGCCGTGATATCACCTTTGGGCAGCGTGGCACTGGCCATTAGACGAGCAGTTACGGCGGATCGAGTGCCTGCCTCGGGAATATCTCTGAATTCAAGTTTCCAGGGCTGGTCCTCGTAACTGTAAGACGATGAAGACGACGATGGCTTCTCCTCCAATCCGGACATGGAGACATCGGGATCTCCAGATGAGGAAGGGTTCCCGCCAAAGTCTGCATTGGCGACGGGACCGACTACTTGGGTATAGAACATGCCGCCATTGAGCATTTTATTAAGGCGCTGCAATTCGACACCCTGCAGATCTTGACTGGCCCCAACCCGGGTGGTGGTCAAACCTGGCTTGCGGTAGGCCTTGAAAACCAAGCGTCTTTCCAGGCGGTGACGGGGTTGCATGGCCGTCAACCCGGTCAGCTGTTGAAGGAGCTCATGATGCTGATGCGCGGGGACCGAGGCGAAGAGCAGAAGCTCATGCATAATCGCAAGAGGAACAACCGGGGTAGAAATCGAGACGAATAAGAATAGAAATCGGGAGTTCGTTCGAGCCTGTCTGTAGCTCCCTTAGCTCCGGCCAGCTTTGCTCAGGGAAAGACGGAACACATCAGGCAAAGCCGCAAATCAGGCAAAAAGCACGGGTGAAGTCGGGTCGGAGACTCCTTCCGAGTGTCCACTTTGGTCCGGCCGGTAAGTAATATTGTTATGGTACGGTAACTGCCAGACAAGTCTCGAGAATTCAGTAGTAACACAATAGTTGAACAACAATCCACTTTCTGGCTGGGCGGAAAACGCGTGGGGAGATAACAATCATGTGATATCACGCGATTGTAACTCCGAGGTGAGTAAACCAAGGATTTCGAGCGGCAAAATGCTAGAAGGCAAAGTTTAAGAAGACAACAAATCAACCATAAAAGATTTTTTTTTTGAGATTTAAACTTTATGATTGTTCTTTTTTTCCCTGTTCCTTTAATATTGCTTGTGTTGAAAATTTCCCCTTTTGGACAGGGCTAATTGGGGTAGACTCATCCGAGCACATGCCAAGATGGGGGGAGGGGAAGGAATTTACTATTAGTGAATAGTGAGGTTGACTTGCCCTCCTTCCCAGGGCTTGCGGGGGGTTTCAGATCCCGGAAGGTAAAAAGTACAGTTCTAAGTCTTACATAGAGTGAGGGTGTACGTATGTGCATGTGTGAGGGGGATCACGCCAGACGACTTACCTGTGATGTTTCTCCGCTCAGGTGATCTAAGATAAGAGAGGGTTTGTTACACCAACTGGAGCATCATAACGTCCTCCGGGAAATCCTACGAATGAGGGGAAGCCGAAAAGAGACGTGCAGGTGAAAAGCGTCGGGAGGAAAGGCGATTAGAAGGAAGCACCGATGCAGGTCCCCCAAATCCAAACTCACTGGCCACTCAGGCACGGGTCTTCCTTCACCGGGGATGCGGGTTTGGGCAAGGATCGGGGCCGTCGGGAGTAATCATCAGGTGTCAATCATCCTAACACTATCAGTCTAGTATCTGATTTGGGGAAAAGATGGGGAACATGATGTCGTCGCTATCGAATTGGCAATGAGCAGCTAGTACCGACTCGACCGAATAGTCTCTGATCATACCACAAGCAGCATAGAACCAGACGTTGAGGAGTAGTAATCGTGCCAGATTGATGGTGGAATGGATGGTGGAAGGCAAAGCCCGGATCACAAAATCCGGCGGCGGGTTTCTCGTTAATAACCCGTATTACTCCATACATACCACCAAAGCTGGGCTTATCAAAAACCCACACCCTCGCTTCCGCTCCGACCCTCGTCGGCATTTTCCCTCTCCTCCTCCTCATTCATTTCTCTTCCCCTTCCCCTCCACCAGTCTTTCCAATTCTCCTCCTGCGCCTTTCCCTCCGTCCAGACAGCCTTCTGTACAGTCCTTGCCTCTTTTCTTTCTCAAAATATATAGGCCTTCTGTGTCCTTGTCGTGGAGAATCCGCCTGCCCTTTAAAAGCTTCCTCTTCCACTTCCAACTTATTAATCGCTTAATTCGGTCGCGTCGGACACCAGCGGTTTCTCTCGATTCCTCGCTTTTCATCCTTACGACTACCTTATAATCTATAACCCTATCTTCCTTACTCCTACTGTACAAAATGCGTGCCACTTTTGCTCTCCGCAGCGCTGCCCGCACCCCCCTCATCCGGTTCCTCGGCCGCCGTTCCGTGCCTCGTATGTATTCATTCCCACCCGTCAATTCGACGCGCCTGCCTCTTTGTCTAACATGACCCATCTTCAGAGTCCGTTGACCACACCCCCCGTCCTCACCCCGCTTCTCCTTCCGGAATTCTCCCGGACTCTTTCGCCGCCTACCGCATCAAGGCTCAGCAGCACGGCCCCCTTGGCCGTGCCTCTTTCTCTCAGGGCATTGGCCGCAGCGCTGGTGCCTCCCTGGGCCCCGTTCAGCCCAAGCAGGGTGAATTTTTCGACCGCGACGAGCTTCCTGCCCGTTTCCACCGCCTTCCCTGGTCCGAGGCCGAGATTGAGGCCATTGAGACCGGCGGTGCCAGCCTGTTCGCGTAGATCATTCCAGGATCTCACTCAACGAGAGATGACGCAACGGTAGCGGTCACGGTTTGGCGATTGACGAATACTATCAAGTTAAGATAGAGTACGGCCATCGGCATGGGGCCGTGGCAGCCGTTGTTCTCCCAATTCAACCATGGAGTAACAGGCGAGTTGTGGGGCCTGGTTCGTCTCGCATCATTGGAACTTGGATGGTACTATAATCAGGGGCTGGGAGCACCGTCGCATACTGGTGATGGGTCGTTTGTTGGCATTGTCCAACCAGGAGCTGCTTCCGTCCCTGCACTTCTTCGATTGCTTCTTTTTATGCTTTTCTTTTCGGTCACGGCGCTGGTGGTTGCTTGTTTCGGAGCTTAGCGGTTTGGATTCCTTGTACTTGGGGCGCGACACATGACGGATGCTTTCTTGTTGTCTGGCTGGGGCTTGCTGAGATATCTTCGGATTTCTGTGCATAGATGGTTGTTTCATTCGGATCCAAAAGTCTGCTGCATGTTGGACTATCCTCGGTTTGCGGGGCTTTGTTTGAGTTCTTCCCTGAGGTTTATTAGTACTATACTGAGGCTCGAGGAGACCTTGAATACGATCAATCAATTCAACATAACTTTTTGCAGTCACGTAGTCTAATGTAGAGAGCTACTGGTCGTCCATCCGAGATTCTGCCGGACTGCAGCGGACAGATGTCATGACACGTGCCCGTATCCTTAGCGTCAGCTCCTGCCACGCAACAACAACTTTCTATACAACTTCCATCGAGCTACGCGTCTCCAACATCGCGTTAGGTCTCAAACGGGACTTTCATCGAGACCAAAAGGAACACGCGCCACATAATGGCCATTAAAGAGGACAGCACCGCAATAACCTTCACCGAGGTGGACGAAGTTAATCACCCTACCGCAACTTACATTTACTCCGAGCCCGCAGCGGGCCCTGCACGTCTTGAGCAGGACAAGAAGCATGGAGAGAATTGGGGACGCGTGGATGTGGCAGTAAGTGATAACCAATGTTACCCAATCTGAGCACTAGGCTGCAATGCTGTCATTCCGATTTAACCATGTGCTTGGTAGCATGCTTCCTCCACTACTCTGGCAGCTTGGTCTTCAAAGAGCGTTCTAGACTTTCTGGTTGAGGTCTTCCTTCCTGCTGGATATCCCCACAGTGTCACGGATGATTATACGCCGTAAGATACTGTTGATCTCTCTCCCTAGCATTGGGCTCTACTAATTCATACAGATACCAATTGTTTGTATGTAGAAAGCGTTAAGCACACCATGCCGAAGCACTACCATACTTGCCCCTATCGGACTAGACGGCTAATCCACGAAGGACTCTCTCCAAGCCTTCAGCAGCTCGATTGCTGGTCTCCTATCCTCGAGAGCAGTGCTGCAAGGTCGGTAGATTTCCTATTCACACCCAACAGCTGGTCCACAGACCACCAATGCTAACAGCTATTAGGTGTTGGAGTTGGTAACGCCGATGCCTCCCCCACCGCAGCCCTACTGCTGCATATCCTCCAAGACTCCTCTGGCCGGATTGCGACGATCCTCTTCGCGCACCGGGTCGGTACTGCTCTCGAGCCAGAATGCAAGATGTACCGGCTGGCAGCGGACGTCTTCAACGATCTAGCAATGATCCTCGACTGTCTCTCACCAATGATCCCAGCAGGTGCGCCTCGAGTCACCGTACTCAGCACAGCAGGTGTCCTTCGCGCTCTATGCGGAGTAGCAGGGGGGAGTTCCAAGGCGAGTCTGAGTGCGCATTTCTCTCGCTGGGGAAACCTCGCTGAAGTCAATGCCGTAAGTGTATCAATCGTTATTCGAACCTTGCGCCTACAATACAGCCACTGACTTCTTATCAACAGAAAGACTCATCGCAAGAGACAATCATATCCCTCATCGGCATGCTCGTAAGCCAGACACACCCTAGCTACTACAGCTCATCTACCCCAGAGCAAACCTGACGCAGGAACTTACAGGTCGGCTCCTTCGTCGTCTCCCGCGTGACCAGCTTCTCCACAACCTGGATATGCCTCTTAATGCTTCTAGCCCTGCACCTCAGTCTCAACTATGCTGCCGTGCGCTCCGTCCAAATGACCAGTCTCAACAGACAGCGAGCCAACATTGTCTTCTCAACCCTCCTAAACACTGATCCAGACGTCACACAACTCCTCCGCGCAGAACCCACCAAACAACAACAACCGCAATCCCACCACCCGCCCTCCTGGAAGACCCTAACCCCAGCCAACGTCTCCAAGCAAGAGAAAATCTTCGAAACAGACGGCATCCTCCGCTGGTCCTCCTCAACAACGACTCCCCCTCAAACCCTCGGTTACTGTCGTATAGGCATTTCTCTGCAACAATTCCTCTCCTCGTCTGCACTATCCACCACATCTTCTAAATCCCTCCGAACCCCAATCCCAATGCCCCAACTCACCACCCTCTTCAGTAAAGAAGATTACATCCTCTACCTCACCAGCGGCAGCAGCAGCAGCAGCAGCAGCAGCAGTAAGAAGAACCCAACATGGCACGCCAACATCCTACTCAAGAACACTACTACAAGTCAATCTCAGCTCAAGGCATGGGCGCATGCCTTGCTGGCTGCAAGGGTTTTGTCGACGTCATCAGCAGCAGCACCACCAGCAGCGGATTTTATTAGTACCTCAGACCAGATTGAAGCTACGATGGATGTACTGCACCGGACGTTGGAGTTCCTCAATGAAGGGTCGAGGTTTGATCGGTATACGACTGTGTTGACGGACAATGGCTGGGATTTGAGCATTGCTGCGTTGGAGACGAGGTCGGGAAGGAGGGTCGTGGTGTAGTGTAATATAGCTAGCATAGCTGTCTGTTATGGCTGGGTACTTATCTAGTGTAGTTACTTGTGTGTAAATTACTAATGAGGGTGTTTGTTTTATAACAGGTCATAGTTGCTTTGTGATGATCGATACATGAGTATTGACTATGTAGGGAGGAGCACTGTTGATGGGTGAGATGGGGTTTCAATACTGTACGGTTTAAAATAAGACAGTCTACTCAATCCTACGTTCGAGCCCGGAACAAGGTGAAGATAAAAAGCATCCAATCCATGGGTATCTATCGACCAGTACACAGTGATGCTAATGCTAATGCTGATGCAAAGTGTGATGCTAACTAAAACACGGAGGAGAAAGAAAAAAATGCAGTCATGCCCTTTGACAAAAGGGGGATAAAAAACAACTCCCATGCACGCACACATCAACAGAATGTCCCCTCGACACCCCACACCACTCCCCCTTGTGAGAAATTCAATATGGATACACACACACAAAACGCCAAGAGATATAACAGATAACCACCATCCCGTTTTGGAAACCCCCAAGTCTATATGGTTTTGATGATGACAAATGGAATGATGCACGCTGGGTCGCTTGCTTCGATGCAAGTGGAAGAAAAAAAGGCAAAAAGAAGATGAGACAGAACGCCGGAATATGCTTAAATCATAATGCACATGCATTACACCGTCCACTCGTAGTCAGTGAGTCAATGCGACATATTCGCTCAATAACCGAGAGATCAATCATATATGCGGTATCAGGTTATGCAGATCGGATCATGCGGTCTAGCCGATGCGGTGAGAGGAGTAGAAATCAGGATGCCATTTTTGGCGATCCGTCGAGAATTCGGAGCGAAGAAGGCTTTTGAGTGATAAAGGACATCATCAGAGCTTTGATGCTCTGCCAGATGGGGTGGGATTTCGGTAAGGTTGTTGTCGGCCGGTTTTGAACGGCCAGTCATTCGTCCATGCCAGACAACTTGAAATGTTGGTTGCCGGAGCCTCCGTGGCCCGAGCGCTTTTTGAAGCCCAACTTCAGTCCCATCTTTTTCCATGGGTTGTCGGTGCGCTTCGGGCTGTGGGCCAGGTGCATGCAGTGAGGATCGCTGGAGGGCGGCGTAGTCGGCGGTGTCATTGGTTCGCCTGCACTGGCACTCGATTGCAAGCTTCCAGAGTCATCAGTCAACGCCCCAGACCCGGAATCTCCGCTGGCGTTGGAGACCTGTCCCAAAGTCCGATGACCGACCTTACCCATGGAAGTCATTGCACTCAAGGAGAAGTTCGAGCGGCTAGGCGGAGAACCGACGGACACCGGCGATCCCAGATCCTTGGAAGACTGGGGAGACTGCCGTCTTCTCTTCGATCGGCCCCGACTGGCCGTGTGCTCGTCGAAGCTGGAGTTCGATACGACGGTGATATCGTCCTCCTGAGAAAACAGCGGCTCCGATAGCGGCAAAACGTGAGCGGTCGAAGCATGCGAGTTGAGAAACGGCAGAAAGATCGACTCCTCCATCAGATCATGAACGAGTTTTACGGCAGCGTCCAGAATTTCGGGAAGCGGCGGGTTAGGAAGATTGGCGTGTCGAAGGATGTCATCGCGGACCTCGCTGGAGACGTTAATCTCTCGTGGAGATCCGGGCAGAATGTAAGCGGTCAACAGTCGCTGCCAGAGCATACGCAGATGCTGGCTGCCGGTGCAGTCGGTGACGATGGGCGATTCATTCAGCTGGCGGCTCAGGGCATCGTATGTTTCCCGGTACCGCTTGGCCTCCAACGTGAATTCCAGGGTCTCCAGACAGTGGTTCTGCGAGAGATAGGCCATAAAGGCACTAAGGGTGTATGGGGCAGGTGCAGTGTTGGCCAGCACCTCATCTAATGAGGGACGCATGGGACAGAAAGCACCCGGAGGAACCGTCAAACTCAGCGGACGCGAAGCGGAGGAGTCCATGTCCTCGTCCGACTCGCTGTCCGATGAGGAAGACGTGGGAGAAAGCTCAGGGGTGGTGCTGGGAGTATGGTGTCGGAAGAGTATGGGAGGATGCAGGGTCTTCTTTTTAAGCATCGCGTACAGCGTGCGTCGGTCACTGGGGTACGGCGCAGGTGTGGTGAAGCCCCGAAATCCACCTCGTTGTTGCTGTAATCCTCCGAGACAGCCCAGGCAGTGAATCCGGTACTTCGCCAGTCTTGAATGTTGAGTGGCCACCCTTTCCGGAGAGGCCAGACTCGTCGATAAGAGAAGCCGTGTTTCAGATGGTGAAGCGTAAAGAGAGACAGCGCGACGGTGAGGCGGCGGCACTGAGCGGGTAGAAAGGCTGAAGCGAGAACCCGGCGATAAGGTGGTAGTGGTGGTAGTAGTGTAAGGTAGAGTTGAGTAGATAAGTGAAGACCTCAGTTAGTGAAGGATTGAGATCTGTTGGTGGACAAAGGATTGATTAGTCGTTTCGATGTCCCGCAGCAAGGGTATAGGCAGCAGCAGCGGTTTTCCAGAAGGGTCAGAGAAGACGGGGGGTGTGATGGGAATGTATTGGAGGAAAGTTGGTAATTGGGGGCAAGGAAAAAGTAAAAAACGGTTGTTAATAATAAGAGACAGGACTAAGGCCAGGCACAGCGATAGTAGTAAGTTGCAAAGGGAATTGAGAAAAGAAAAGAAGATGACGCCACAGGAGACACAGCCGAATGGCAGAGGGAAGAGAGAGGGGGGGGGATGACTGGTAAGTATTCAAATAAGAGGAGGACCAGCCATATCCAGAGGGTGTGAGTGGGAGAGTAAAGTGTGAGTGAGAGAAGAGTGGAAGAAACAAGGCAAGACGGGCCAGTGGTGGGTGGAGTGAGGTGATGCCGATCAGGACCCCTTCAAAAGTTCTCAGAACCTGCACGGAAGCGTCGAGCACCCGGGGGGAAAGAGCGAAAGAGCGAGAGAGAGCGAGAGAACAGAGAGAGGGGGGCCACACAGGAAAGTGAGTAAGTGGAGTGGAGAGAAGCCAGCCAGACAGAGAGAGAGAGGGGTGGGGGACCCGCCAGAAAGTGAAAATCGAGAAGTGGATGGATTTGCTGGATTTGCTGGCCCACAGGAACAACCGGCGGCCCAAGATTTCCTCACTTCCAGAGCCCATCCACGTTGGCTGGCAGTGGATGCTCTCCCTCTCGCCTTCCCACACCACGAATCACCGCTGACGAGACTTCCCGGTCGATCGTACCCAGGATGAGCCCCAGCCTATCACGCCGACTTCGGCGGGTCTCTTCAGCCAGTCACAGTTGCAGCCCAAAAAAATAATGCCACCCACCCCTCCCAAAATGTAAAAGTAAAAATCTAATCGGGAAAGAAAAAACAGGGAAAGTGGGAAACGGTTCAAAAAAGAAAATCGTCACTTTGGGAGAGACAGAAAGAGGGAGAGGGAGGGGGGGGCTGCGTATTTTTTTGTCTCCTCCTTCCCAATTTGGCTTTTCTCTTTTTCTTTTTCTTTTCTTCTTAAATCCCTAATTCCGCTTATTCTTCAAAGAGAGAAGAAGAAATTAGAGCTGGGAAGGGGAAGAAGGCCGGCAGGGAAAAGATTCCACGCTGATCATGAAAGCAACAATGACTGACTGACCCCAGACAGACTTTCTAGAACCACAGACACACTCTCACGCACCACACACAACACACATTGGAGGGATGAGGACTACGCGGCTAGTAGATAGTAACAGAGGCATGGCCAACCAGGAGAGAATCACGTCATGCCCCTAAGGCATGCCTCAGACACTAGCCCAGACAGCAACTCGCAACCATTGCAACCCAAAAAGGATCTGAGAGGCCAAAAGGTGGAGACCATGAATGGAAATTGGCTCCCGTTGCTGGTCTTGAATGGATCACCAGAACGCGCGATGGATCTCCGGCCGATGAAGTAATAATCCAGAGTTCCAGCTGCTGGATGTGAGGCCGAAGGTGGGTCCATAACAACGCAAGTTTAGCGTTGGGGCAGTCAAACTCGATGGTGCAAGGTCGTGTTGTTTGTGGTTTGTGCTGCTGCCGCCGCCGCTAATTACTCAATCCCATCGTGGTGTGGAATATAAAACCGGCCATGGTGGATCCTGGCGCTTGTTTCTTCTGCCCTTCAACAATGAATGACTCGAGAAGAGGGCCCTCTCTCAGCTCTGTGGATATCCCATCTGCCTTGGCCTCGCGTAGTGCTCACTACCACTATGACTGTCTGGCAGTCCGCGGTTGTTGCTATGATGGTATGGACCAGGTCGATCGATCGATCGACCGGCGGACCCCAAAGCAATATCCCGTCATGGATTGCAGTTGAAACAGCATAGTGGAGCGACCGAAAATATGACAAGCACCATGGGGTAACAACAGAGCCAACACAAAAAGATCAAGAAAATAAAAATAAAACAGAGAAAAAAGGAAGGGGCCGAAGGAATGGACCCAAAACCGTAAGGAAATTGAGGGAAATAAGAAAAAATAGCTTTCTAGAAAGAATGAAGGAGAAACCAATGTCGTTAACTCACCATGCGTCAATTGAAATGCGACCTCCCGCAACAGAATATCCGTAGAAGGAGACCGGCAGCAAGGGGGCGGTCGCCAAAACGCGCGTTCAACGCCAATATATCTCAACGGTGCAGCAACGAGGGAGGGGAAAAAAATCGCTCAGGGCTGAAAAAAATGATAGATAACGGAGCTTATGTAGGTTGCAGGCAAGTAGGCAGGCAGGCAAGCCGAAAAAGAAGCAGGCGTGGAGTTTAATGTATGTATGTTCTGTATGTATGCTGTAGGTATTCAACGCCCCGGTAGACAGAAGTAGAAAGGTAAATGTGATACATGATATGATGCACCCTACAGCAACAAGCGAATTTCCGCAACGGGAGAAGGATAGTAGAACAAAATTAGAAACTCAGACTGCAACAACTCATTAGGCGCCCAGGAACCGGATTTCTTGCAGCTTTTGTATGGAGAAGGCGCCTGAATTCAATGCAGAAAGCTTTGATCAAGTTGATTGCCTGATGCGGTTTGGGAGCAGAAGAGAGAAAGGGAAAAACAGAGGTGGTGGCAACTGGGCTCGTATGTGCCAGTCTGGACCCGATCGCAGTCCGCCGTAGCCCCTCTTAGGCTTCGGAGTACATGTACCTGAGCCCTCCCGGTGACCGCAGCAGGTCGCAGAGGTAGAGGTACTAGCTACATACATACAAAGACACACTGTCAGCAAACAAGCTGGGGTTTGCATTGCCGCTGTGCTTGAAACCCACGCACAACTGAGCCAATGCCAGATGGAAGAGCTGCCTAGATGCAATAATGAAGCCGTTAATTAGTCCAGCCCAGATGTGTTGTCGCATCCACAAGACACATGGCCATCTACTTGGCGCGAAGATTACTTTAGAAGTAGTAAGTAATAAGACGAAGTTCTGCCCACTACACCGGAATGGCGAGACAAAGAATACTATACCACGCCCGAACGGAGTACTCCGAACATTGTTTTCGATTCTTTATAAAATTAGTTGAAATCCCATGTAGACCTAACCTCACCGTGGACGTTCTTCCCACCGATACGATACTAGCTGTACCAATCCGGAGACGGAGAACAACTCTCCGGATTGGCCCCCCTCTCAACGGATGATAATGCTGAATATGATCTCAAAGGCGCACGACGGCCTAACGCTGTCGTGCAGAGCGGCCACCCCGCAATGATTGGTCAAGCTGGCGCAGGATCTACAGGATGCCAAGCAGGCTGTGCAGCCAAAAAGGCAAGGGGGGGGAAGGGATACATTCATAAGGGTTCCACCAAAAGACCGAAGGTAGAGAGAGGGAGAGGGAGGGAGAAAGTCTGTAGGGAGAGCTTGCAGGTGGTATATTGTGTAGAGAAAGTTTCGAGCCTTATGAGTGCAACCCAGACATCCATTGGGACGATTTCAAACCCGGCTGCAGCAAAAGCATGGTGTGGGTGAGTAGTGAATGCCTGTCGGGCCAATTCCTTTCAGGGAAGAAAACTTTCCTTATGTGCAGTAGCGTCTAGAAAGTGGTGGTTGCTGGTGGTAATGAGCGGATCTGCAAGCCGACGAGGAGAGTGTGGTTGCAGACAAAGAATCTCAAGCAGATAGGAGCTGCGAAAGCTGCGTGCGTGCTCCTGTTCTTCGCGGAGTCAATCGCGGAGTCGACTGGCTCCAGTTATGGGGTAAATAGTGCCGTGCTACGCTGGAATGGTTCTAGTACAGGATAACACCATCGTGCTAAGCGCCATCAGCTTCTGAGCGCCAATTCTGATTATTACCCAGGAGGTTTAACCCCCCTCCACAATCCTCTGCAACGTCCAATCCGGGGGGCGGAACGGCTGGACGGCGTGGTATCACCAGTAATGACCCTTGTCCGGGGGTTGTGTTTAATGGCTCTCCCCAAACGCGCCTGCAAGGGCCTGCAGACATGCAGCATACTGGTGTATGTGTCACAGGGTGGTGGTGATGGTTAACGAGAAGAGCATCCTCCGATCCCGCTGTGGTCGTGGTCGCGGGCTCAGTGTCAAATTCCGGGAGATTGATTCATCATTGCAAACCGTTGTCGGGAAACCAGCCGACAAAGAAAAAAAAAAAAGAAAATGGAATCCTGGAATTTCTTACCTTTTCCAGAACACGAAGGAAGGCGCAAAGAAATTTCGAGGAATGCTGGTTTGCCCCAGTTGCGAACCGCAAGGGAAAGCGAGAGAACCAGCCCAACCCTTGCGGCATCCACTAATGAGATGGCAACTGGGGAGGAGGGAGAGGGGGGCTTTCGGCCCGCCCGTACGCAGTTAACTGTTGATTGTGACCAGTCAGTGGCCACGCCTGACGAAAAGGCAATGAGAGTGTGTGGCATTAGCGTTGCCCAAGTGGTCGAATTCTGGCCAGTTCCGAGGGTCCTCACGGCTTTGTGGATTGGTGGTGCCACCCCCCCACCCCCCCATACACACACGCACAACTAATCCACCAGCCAATGCCAGCAGAGGTGGAGGGGCAACGTGTTTCCTTTTTGGGGTTGGCGCCTTTAAACGCTGTGCTCACGAGGTGCAGTGCCTTCCTTTATCTGGTCCAGAAGCTTGTTAGCGGCTGTGGAGCATGGCTCTCGGGGCGTCTTTGCCAGGCCTTGGCGCGATAGGGGCATATCGTTTGAAGTCCTTCTCCTTCTCTTTACTTCCTTTGGGCAAGTGCATTTTATGACCTGCAGGTACTGTTGATACAGTAGTAATCGAGTAGTTATGGAGTAGTAGGAGTATACTTTAGTATATTGCGAACCTATTACCTAGCGTTCAGGTGTCATTCTGGGTGGCGGACGGGTCTTGATGTTGTGTTCTAGAATGACATGGACCTTTTCCTCACCAGTGTATCTCATCGGATGTTGTTGTGCTACCACGTAGTCCCTGTCAAAGAAAAGGTTCTACGTCAGCACTAGAAAGAAGCCATACAGAAGGTTCCATGGAGTGACACGGCAGGCGAAGACTCGAGGAGGCGTACAAGATCTACCGCCTCCCTTGATAACGCCATCAGCAACAGCATTCGAGTAGATTACGAATGTATAAGTGGGAAGGGTGCTGTGTAAAGGGGAGGGATTTTCTGAGTTACCATCCATCAATTCGAACAAGCCACACCCAAATAACGTCATGTACCTGCTGTGTGATGCCCGTTTGCAGATCAGTCCAGCACCCAGTAAGTAAGTGGCTTGAAGGGTCGAGTGACACTTGAATACGACACAGATTTATGGTCCCGGTAACCTTACTGCCTACATTGCTTGAAGCTTCTGAGTAAGGTCATCTCAGGACGGTCACGCCTGAGTCATCTTGACTAATTGGCTCTGCTTATCAACTTCCATTACATCTTCCATGGGCTGTTGTGCCACCTGATTGATTGTTCGTCGAACGGGTGCCGGGGTCGTCGCATCAACTGACCAGCAGAGCAGATCATCATGAAATTCTAGATTGATCATGGAAGCTTTCGAAGGAAATCATTTTTTTTTTCTTCTTCGCACAACGCCACTCTATTAATGTAACAACAACAAGCAACTTTGCATATCACCAGGGACAAAATTAACCTACGGCCATCAAAATTGGAAAAGCGCTCCGATATGCTCCGGACTGATAAAGAAAGAAAGAAAGTCCTTAGCGACGGGTCGGGTGAGGGTGGCAAAGCAGCGCGGTGGCTTATCAGTTGGCAATGAAAAACTATTTCGGAGTGCTGAACCTAATCTTTAGGCTAGTGAGGTCTCTACTCCTCTGGGAAAGAGAATCATCGGAGTCTTATCAAACTTCGGCGGCATAAATATACCAAAAATTGAGCCCATCTCTCTCTCCACATATCAACTTAATTATCTACTTACTATCCGGACTCCGAAGAGTGATACGTAGATAGGACCACAGCAACTATGGAGTACTAATGGAGACAAATTACCTAATCCCCGTGCCAGTTCACGCCGACGATTAGCGACGGTACCCGCCCTGGCACTTATCCTCGTTTGCTCCATGCTTTATTCATTAGTTAGGACTAAGGAGGGGGCAAATATTGGGTCCAGCCAACAAGGTTGTCGGCACCGCCCGCACACCGAAAACCCCAAAGGTAGAACGGAGTACTGATAGGGAAAGTTAAGTTAGGTATCAATTTGCATCGGAGGTAACACCAAATAACTATCTAATAGCTATGACTAAATCTAGGTATAGTCATTTTTGCCAATGGTGGACACACCAAAACTAGAAAAGTCAATGGTAGTGAAGCTATTCGAGTCGATATTGGATACCTTTTCGCCTCACTTCTCGTCTCATAGCTTCCTGCATGCAGAAGTAGGATGCGAACAAGAGCCCACTTGCAGAAGCAACTGCTTGGAGCTAAGCAGGTAGCTGCTGCTACCGACAGCTCTCCATCTCTCCAGCAAGCTAGCAAGTTGAACAACCATTCAGAAATCCATACGTACCTACAGCTCCAATTGACCCCATCGTATCGAGGGCGCTGCCAAGGACTGGTCACCACGTGTACGACCTCAATTGCTAATTGCGCGAGACCGCCACGAAGCCACGTTTTCGGCCAGCTGTCAGAAGAGAAGATTTTGTTCTTTCTCGTACAGCTGTTTCTGCTTGGCAGGTTTTGACCTACTAATTGCTAGCAGCTTACATTGATGGTGAAGTTGGCGCTGTAGGTATGCACTGCACCGATTGGAGACTTACAATTCTACGGGGAGTTCGGAGTCAACCGAAGGAGCAACAAAATCCACCGTAAATCACCTACAAAGTACTACTAGTCACAAGCCTCCTATGATCGACGACAGTCAAGTCATTGAGCTACTACTACTACAGTATCAATCCTGGCCATGAAAGGACCCTCATCACTCATCTCATCTCTTTCGCCATCATAAACTTCTCCTACGTATACTCCATACTCCATACTTGGGCTCTTCGAAAGAACGACCTCCAAGTCAAGATCCACAATTTCTCCGTGGTCGGCAATACACTAAGCCGCCGCACTAGCCAAGAAATCGAGAGTTATGACGCGATCAGACACCGCATGAGAATTGAGAAGAGATCTCTGCAGAACCAGAACCCTTACGGGAAAAGGCAGCAAAGAATAGCCGGTCAGTGCTAATAAGTGAGGCAGGCAGGCATTTGGATCATCATAATAAGTGGGTGATATAAGGAAGATCCGGACCAGGGCAGCCCAACGCGATAAAAACGACAAAAGCCTGAAGAATATGACGAAGTGGCCTGATGCCTGTCTGTCTGTCTTTCTGCTTCTCCCGTCAATCTGAAACAGGCGAGTGGGAACTGGGAACTGGGATTCCGATTCGATTCTCGGGCCCGAAATGCTGGCCCCCCTCCCCTCCCCATTCCCACTTTGGGTCTAGACCTGCTGTAGTGGAGAATAATGAGAGGATTGTCTTGTCGGTCATCATATGTTTGGTTGTGGTTGGCCCGGCAGTCAATCAGATGCTCGGGATACTGAACTGTCACTTTTTTAATGTAGGAGCTTGTTATTCTCGTCATTCAATCAGAGCTGAGAAGGACTTCCCCTATATTCTACAAAACATCATATCCTTCTATTATAGTATTTCTGTACTATGTGTATAAAGTAGGATACTATTATGATCACCCCATCACATCACTAAGTAACTACTACAAAGCACTTACTACGTAGTTATCATCAAACCGTCCACAATTTACCCCTGCACCCTGCACCACATCTGCAACATGACAGCATCAAACCACCATGACAGGATCCATAGCTACTTAGTACTTAATAGAAGATTAATTGCCATCGCCGATCCCCCATCACCATCACCATCATCCCGGTCTATATTCCGTGTATTAACGGGACGGGGTAGTAACCTATAGTATGCACTCCTCCCAAGAAGGCAAACCCTATCACAGACAGACTTACGAAGACAGCTACTTACTCCCTCATCTGCAACGGTGATTCGTTCACTTTCAGAAGTGAAGTAGCCAAGCAGCCAAGCAAGTTGCCAAGACAGGAAGGAAAACATATTCCTACACCATCGTGTCTTTTTACACTGGAATTATTCCGCAGGAAGATGCTGAGTGGAATTACTTCACTTTATCGTTTATCCCAATCCATAGTAACCCCGTAGCATGCCACACCAAACAGGACACTTCTGGTATGGGGATGGGGATGAGGGATGTTGTATCACCATGGGTTAATCCCTATATAGATACATACATACATAGTAAAAGCGATACTACATTCCCTCACGACAGAACTAGAGTTGCTATACTACACCCACGTAGTACTGAACATCATAAACCTCACAAACACACACATACACACATACAATCATACATACCCAACCACCAATTATCAACATCAACATCAAACCAACCCAAGCCAAGACAATCATCACCACCCCCTCCTCCATCCCTCCATCCATCCCAACCTATAACATCACCCGATCCGCCACTACAAACTAGTAGCCTAAGTAGCAGTCCTACCGTGCGCACAGATCCCCCCTCCCCCCTCCATCAATCCATCAATCCCTACCGATCATCATCCCCCCTCTCGTCCCGAACACGGCACACAGCTCAGCACCCATCTTCCAATGAGGAGCGTTAATGAATACTTTACTTCTCTTGATTGATTGAATGCTCGCTTGAATATAGATAGTCATATCATGTCATGTCAGGGTATACGTGTAGGACATGAATTAATTATGGGGATGGCTAAAATGGCATGTCATGTCATCATTGTCATAGCGGGAAGGAATACTCTCTTTCTTGGCCTGCAGGGTAAGCTGAGGATAGTACGCAGTAGGCACTAGATAGTAAGTATCTAGTGGGTTGATAGGGCTGGGTGGATGGGTGGCTTTCACTGCTGCTGCTGCTGCTGCTGTGCCGTGTTTGTGTCTTGGCGATGGGTGGTAATCAGAGTAGGTAGTAAGTAGTACGAGATGATGTTGATTGAAGGGTAGGTAGGTAGGTAGGTAGGTAGTTTATTGGTTGGTTGCTTCTTATGTTGGGAAAGACAGTCTACTTACTGCTGCCAGCATTAAGTAGATAGAGAATAGCATAGGAAGTATGTATTGTATGCATACAACGTACATGTCAGCTGCTCGATGTGATGAAGGTGATCGCTATAGAACTGTATATTAGAAGCTCTATCTAATGGGATTAAAGTAGTAATATACTATGTATGCAGCAGTAGAAAAAAGTAGGTTCCTTCGAAAACAACTCCTAACACGCCCATGTTCACACGCCTGACATCCAAAAGACCGGATTACTCTACGGAAACCAAGCCCCCGTCTTCGATGTAGAACTCCGACGGCCATGCTGAATGCATATGCTCTTCCTCTTTCGGTAGATCTGCGACTCCCTGTCATCTTCACCATCACTCTGCATCAACGTATATATAGCACAACTTGCCGCAGACTCTGGAACGCAAACCTCTTCGAGGCCGACTCAGGGCTTGGTTTACTGCTCCACCTTCCTCCCCCTCTGTAGTCCCTCGACCAACAGGGGTCGAGCGGACTCCTCGTCACACCCTTCGAGCACGGAAAGAAAAAAAAAAGGACGAAAGAACCAGGCGAATCTGGTGAATCAACTGTTTTTGAAACTGACAACGGCAGAGAGCATGATAGGAACAAGTACAAATCCAACAAAACACACACGGGCTACATCCGAATGATTCCTTGCAAATGCGCGTGAAAAGCGACACAACAGAATGGAATTGAAAAGAAGAAAAAAGTAAACAGAAACAGCCGCAGGCCGCTATCGCATGAACTCCTTGACCGAGGACTCAATTAGTCCTGCACACGCATTCCACGGGGCCGCATATTCAAACATTTAAATGCTAAAAATGCTTTGTAAATCAGTGTCTGCCCGGACGACACGCGAGGACTTCCACCAAATGCCAAACGCCCTTCTGCCACATCATTAAAATTACCATCGAAAGACCAGCCACGAGAGACCCGACGTGATAGAGTGGTAGATGTCAGAGACGGGTCGAAGAGGAAAGGTAAGAGGTTCGGGGCACTGATCATGTACTCTGACAAACACAAGACGGAACTCTAGTATTAAATGACTCGTGCCGGGAATGCGGGACGAAGGAAATAAAGAAGAGAGAGGAAAAGAAATGCAATGACACAAGCAGGACTGATCAGGTTCGCCGTTCCGAGCCGTAGCACCATAAAGAGAGTGTTGAGATGACGAGGGTGATGATGAGAAAGACGTGGGAGGGTCGTTTCTATATCGAAGGCCGACGCATTTCGTGCTGATGTTGCCTTGGCAGATTAGAGAGAGAGAGAGAGCGAGAGCAGGCGGGTTGAAGCCAGATGCTCTTGATCCGAGACCCATGGATGACACAAATAAGGAAAAAGAACAATATATCCACGCTCCCCAAAGTCAACATCATGTTCACCTGCATCAGCAGCTGCAACAGCAGCTGCGTCGGCAAGTCGAAACACGTACAACGGGATGGGGAGAGTTCCCGGGCTATAACACAGTATAATCGCATGCTGCCTTTCAAACCTCCCAAGTATGTTGAGAACAAGAAATAACGAAAGAAAGTCGAAAAGCCAACATGACCAGGTGATTCATGTAGAATTCCAGAGAATTCCACGCTCATCCTCGCATCAACCTGGATATCCCCGTATAAGTATGGGAAGGCCTAAAAACTTGCGGTATGCATTTTGGATCACCTACCGCAGCAAAGCGCCTTCATCAGCTTCTGGACAAACGTAGGCTGCGGCTCATTGTTTCCCTGAGCGCCCTGGCCTTGTTGGCTGTTCTTCGTCGGGTTCGCAGGGCTGTCCAGGCGTCCCGGAATGTTGGCATTCGAGTTCTGAAACTGTGCTTGAGTCGATGCTGTCGGCGTGGCATCCAGGCCCCCGCTTTGGCGCTTCGGCGGCATGCCGCCTGAGACGCTTGGCCGGTCGCGTGTCTTGCCAGCTCCGGGCTTGGCCGGAGACGGAGGCGGGGGCTGAGCGGCGTTTAAACGGTCGGCAGTCACTCCGGGCCGGCTGCCGCGGAGCTGCTGTGCGTGTAGCTCGCGGGCAGAGGTGTTGGGAAGAGCGTTGTTGTGGAGGTGCTGTTGAGACGAGTAGGACTTGTACTCCCATCCTCTTCCATTGTTGAGCTTCATCCAGTCATATTCGCCATCTTCGACTTCTCCGGCATTCTTGAGAGCCTGTGTCAAGAGGTCCCGGAGGTAATCGTAGTCAGGGGTATCCTCGAAGCCGAGGTTGCGCACATAAGTGAGGTACTTGGTGAATTCTTCTAAGCCATCTGATTAGTGACAATGATTCCTTAGAAAGGAAAAGAGACGCAATCACCTGGGAATCCATCGCAAAGATCCTTGATTGCGGTGGTCTGCTTCTTCTCGCCAATCTTCTCATACTTCTGCTTGTTGGTGGCGGCCTTGAGACCCTGCCAGGGGAGGCCACCTCTGAGGAAGTACAGGAAGACGTGGCCCAAAGCTTCGAGGTCATCACGTCGCGATTGTTCACGTCCCAAGTGGGTGTTGATGCTCATGTAACGGGCTGTGCCGGACAGCGACTTCCGTTCGCGGTAGGGAATATGCTGCTTCGTCTTGGGGTCTCTATACTGCTTGGCCATACCGAAATCAACAACGTGGATTACATTAGCAGCCTTAGTGTTCGGGCGACCAATGAGGAAGTTATCGGGCTTGATATCACGGTAGATTAGGTTCTTCTCGTGGATCGTTTGGACTCGTGAAAGCTTTGAAGCATGTTAGTATGAATATCCACACATCGATTGGTCGGAGTACGCACCATCTGCTTAGCGACCATGACAACAGTCTTGATTGAGAAACGTCGGTTGCAATGATCGAAGAGGTCTTCCAAACTGGGACCGAGCAGGTCGATAACCAGGATGTTGTGAAGACCCTCTTGCCCGAAGTAGTAGACATTGGGGATGCCAGCTGCAACCAGTCAGGACCGGGAAACCTTACGAACACAATTGCCACCAGGGTATACTTACGGCATCCGACCAGAATCTTATATGTCCGGTATTCATCGCGAAGCTGTGGTGCATCACTCTTGCGAGGTTCCTAGTACCATTAGTATGGGCGAACCGTAGACCCGTGCCATCAAGAGTATCACGTACGAATTTGATCGCCACCTGCTGATTGTTCAACAAATTCGTACCCTCGAAGATCACACCGAACGATCCTTCACCGATCTTCTTCCCTACTCGGTAGTGGACACCGACGACGTTGGACGAGGAGGATGACATGACTGCGGTAGTTGGGAGGGGATGAGGGAAGTTGAGAGACCGCGGACAGGGGCGGCGAGAAGGGGAAGGTAGGCTTAGAGGACTCGATCAACGGCGGTTACACGTGAGACTAGCCTGACGGATGGGTCAGAATAATCGACAAGAGGGCATGAATGACGAAAGAAATGAGGTCTAGTAGCGGGCCCTGGGGCGTGAAGGTGGGAGAGGGGGGGAAAAGGCGACCGGAGTCTTACAGGAAGCCCGATGGTACCAATGCGAACCATTCATGAAAGAGAACCCCAGTGTACAACAACCACGAAACCCGGATGGACGACAAATCGGAGACCGCAGACGGCGAGATAGATAGTCGCTCGAACAATCGCACCGGTGAATTTGGACGGGGAGGGAATAGGGTGCACCCTTGGACGGCGTTGGCAAGAAGGGTGACGGAGAGGGAAGAACAAGGTATTCCGGGGAACCGACAGCTTTGAGGGCTGCAGGCTGACAGTTAAGGGTGCGCTCGTCGGAAAGGGGACGAGGAATAAAATGTTCGATTTTGGGAAAAAAAAAGGGAATTAATCGAGAAGGGGTAAGGAGGGAGGGAGGGAAAAAAAAATAAGGAAAGAAAATTCCCCTACTACCGACCAACCGCGTGGCAGTACGGCAAAAACGCACTGGGCAGGCAGTGGTAGATGTAGAATTGGAGGGCGCCGTCGAAGGGGAGGAAGACGGAGGGAGGAGAGAGAAGAAGGGAAAGAAGAGTGATAGGAGGAATGGAGACGGGAAGAAGAGTAGGTAGAGAGGACCTAGGTGAGCAGCGAACACGCCGATGGCATGAACTACAACTGCTACGACCTGCCTATGGGGGAGGAGGAGGGAAAGGGAAAGGAAAAAAGAAGGGAAAGAAATGAGGCGGAGAATAACAGGAGCAGGAGAAAAGAGGAAGAGGAAGAGGAGAGAGACGGAGAGAGAGAGAGAGAGAGAGCGCGGCAAGAGAGGCGATGGTTGGATGAGAGGGAGAGGGAGAGAGAGAGAGGTTTGGTCTGGTCCGGTCTGGTTCCTTTGCTAGGTTTTGGTCAGGTCATGACGGAACAGCCGTATCGGCTACTAGTTCAGGTAAGTAAAGCCAGTAAAGCCAAGTAACTTATTTACCTGTCGAAAGACTCGAGAAAGTCGAAACCCGATGACGCCCTTCGAAATGGGGCGCTTCCGCCCGGTTTTTCTCACGGTAACGATGGTAACAGCTGGGTAACTGGTATCAACTAGTGCAGGCGATTGGAGCCGGAAAGGCCCCATCGATAGGGGATGAAGGGCGGTAATCGGGAGTACGGGTATGGTACCTGATTACACTGAGACATCCCGAGGGCCCCATGCATTTCTTCATTCATTCATTCATCTGTTCTTCCACTTCCCACATACCTCTCTCTCCTAAAGAAGTAGTACTATTACCACCACTTGCTGATCGGGTAAGATTATGTGAGTGAGACAAGATCTCCATTTTTTTCAGATTACCCCAGAGTTGTCTCTCATGCCTACCAGACACTGGAACTGTTGATTCCCAAGGAAGCGAAGAAAACTCTGGATACAATATGAGAGCCAATGAAAGGATCGAGTTGCAGACTTCAATGGCGCTTATTCGCCTCCCAAATTTTATCCTGAACTCGGAATCGCCCTGACCCAGGGACCTTTACTAGCGGCGCCGCTAGCGCTCAGCCTGTTTGGGCGATGAACGGTTGAAAGCGGGCACTACTCCGGTTAGTAGACGCCAGCAGTGGATTCTGGACCAGATGGGAAAAGCTATTATTATTATTATTTATTATTGCGGTGGTCTCGATGGTACGATTGTTACCTTCTTCTCCTCTTTTTCACCCCAGTGCCACATGGGGCTGGCGCTGTTTAAGTGTGTCGTCAAAAGCTCCATCCAGCACTAAACAAGGAGAGTGAAAAAAAAAGAAATTAAAAAGAAAAATAAAAAGAAACATGGAACCCCCGGGAGTTCGCTCACGGTGGGCAAAAGGAATCCATCCATCCATTTTATTCACTTTTTCTACCTATATAGAAACTATTAAGAATAACTATATAGTCACCGCAATTGACATTGAGGTTAGTTTCAACCAACTATCTATTTACCATAATCACTACAGTTGACTACTATACTTTCACAAGTTGCATTTGTCCTCCCCCCCTGTGCCTACTAGCTTGTTGTTGTTGTTGTTGCTCCCTTGACCGAGGAATGAACGACAGGATGGAAATGGCCATCAAGGTCTAGCTGGTTTTGGCATGGTAACGTAATTTCAGGTACATACGTGGTGTATCAATCTATTTCCCTGCGGAACATAAAACCTGCCTATACTTGACTTGGAGCAGAGGAGCTCATGAAAAGCCAACACATGCCTAACAGAACTAACACTACGTATCTAATGACTAACTTCATCTTTATGGATCGTTTATCCGATCGGTAGTTCAATAAATCGAATCACATTGCTTCTCTTTCCCCTATCATTGCGGGACACACCCTCCTCTCAATCGGATTTCTACTCCGGAACAAGCAAGCAACAATTAACCCCAGGACCCCTAAACCCAGAGTTGAAGTGCCTGCGCAGAGGGGATGCGAGTTGTCCGCAAGCTGCGGGTAATGGCGCAGATAATAACTTCCTAGGTTAGTAAGATCGGATACTATCCAACCTAACTAGTAACTGACTTTGTACTTTGCTAGTTAGGTTAGTAAGTAGTAAGTAAGTAACCTAACCGACACAGCGGTCCAATTCCCTTCTCCCCTTCTCTACCAATAATCGCCAGCGATCGTAGCTGTCAATTCAGCTAAAACAACGCCCCATATATATTATTCGACAATGACAGACTGTCAGCTCGCTCCTAGCGGCTAATCACTCTTAATCTGCCTAGTGACTAGTGAGGTGCTGCGGTCTGCATCTAAGAAGCCTTGAGGGGTTTGAAGGTACCTGCGCTGAGCTGGCACTGCCCCTGACCAGTCTATAACCCAACCTAACGCTCAGGGCAACCAATCGAGCTACTTCAAATAGTAGTCCGACTACTACTAGTAAAAGTGTTCGCCAGCTGCTAGTGGTAGATAGGTGTCGTATCGGGGGAAAAATTATGTATCATACCGTACTTACCTGGCCCCTACCTGTTAGTAGATACATAATAGATACGGAGGCTGTGAGTAAGTGAGAGAGTGACTTGAGAATTGGGAGACTAGACTTAATACTCATCCACCCCCCTCCCCACTCTTTCCAAACGAGGAGTAGGACGAGGATTACTTTGCTCCGCAGTGTCCTCATTATCAAGGTATTGACCTGCTGATTTCATTGGTACAAGGTATCGGAGTGGGATTTGGGGGCCCTGATAGCACAGGGGTGCTTCCGAAGAGCCCAATTGGGTCGGCGGCTTCCACCACTTTTAAATAATATGGAGGATTAGAAGTGTTCTCGAAGAAGTAACCGGCCGTCATGATCGGATTTCCCATGGAGGACTGACTTCCCATGAAATGTCGCTACTGAGTACTGCGCCGCACAGCCGGGCATCCTGCAACTCCGTAGCACATCCACCAGTGGCTCCTCCATTTTAGACGCATCTGACACGTCCATGACCCACATCCCACTGGATGCCTGTGCTTGGTTTGTTCTGATCGACTGGCCTTGAAGTGATGACTGCCCGTTTGAAACGCATTCAATGCAGCCTTGAAACGGTTTCTCCCTCCCCAACTACATCAGACGTGGAATGCCTCGTTGGCAAAACTCTACGGCATACAGGCGCGTATGCCAGATAATGCAGGGGCATAGTCCGGCCTAAATCGGCCCCCAAAAATTCATACGTTCGAGTGGCCTGGTGTAGTGTAACGGGCCGCCCATCCAGTAGAGTGGTTTAGCCACGCGATTGTCGAATACACTTCATCACATCGCACACAGGGTGTGTTGGTGTGACCATAGAAACAGTCACTTATTCATACAGCAGCAGGTTGGATATATAGGCGGTCTCTCACAGTTCCTCCGCCGGAACGTCTTCTGCTTCACTTCCGAGCTCCTCCGCCACCAAATTTCGGTCTTCTTCGCCGTCCTCATCCATGTCGCCTTCATCCTCTTCATCATCGTCGTCGTCGTCGTCGTCGTCCTCACTACTAGAGCCGCTTCCGTCGCTCTCACTGTCACTCCCGGGATCGTAATCTTCCTCGTCCTCGTCCTCTTGATCTTCCAACTCGCGTTGGGCTTTCTGTAGTTCACTTTCCTCCTCGACAGCCCCTTCCTCGTTGGCAGCAGCTTCATCGTCTCCCTTGACACTGTTGACATTGTATCGCTTCGCACGTCGTGCTTCGGCAAGACTGGCATCCTGCAGACCATGCTTTTTGATATAACCATCAATTCCGGAGAAGTCGGCCTGGTCGATCATGGAAAACTCGAATTCCTGCGTCTCTTCGCTTGACGTAGGCCGAGCTACAACATTGAGATTAAAGGTCCGTTGCAGGACAGAGGTGTAGGAGATTGAGTCGACGTTTTCAAAGGCAAAGAAGACCAGTGGTTTCTTGAACCCGAATAGTATTCCCGTAGAAAGAAGGAAGAGATAGCCTGAGATGTAACCATTTTAGTCAAGGGGACATGAGGAGAGAACATGGCGTACATACCTTCTTTACTGCCGCGGAAGGCCTTGACATGATAGGCCTTCTCCCCCTTGCGGTGAGCCTCAGGCATAGCACTCACGAACTCTCGCTCATCTGGGCGCACAACCTTGGTCCGTGGGAGGCTGTCGTTCAGTATCCGCTGGACGAGTTTATCAGCCGTTTCTTCGTTATCCGTTCCAAGCTGTTGTCCATTTCCTGAGAACGCTGCCTTGGGCGGTCCGTCGTTGACCGTCCATACGATGGCATCGGGAGCAGCTACACCTTCAGGTGGTGAGTTGACGCCGTCCGCATATTGGGGGATAATGCAGAAATTAAATTGTCGCTGGTTCTTCTCGGGAACGGGGAGGCACAAGACGTGCTCTGTTGTGATCCAACAACATTGTCAGCATTGACACCAATTCCGTCCACCATAGTTCTACACATACGTATGGTATCCAAATGCACTCCAAACTCGACCTCCTTCGATGTCTGGTTTCTCGCACGCAGGAATCCCGCGGTGATTTCGAGTGTAAGCTTCTTCCGCTGGGGAACAGCAAAGGAAACATCCTGCATGTAGAATTGGAGCGAAGTATCGGCTTTCAGGTCACCGGAGGATTGGGCACTTGTAGCATTGCCATTCTGTAGTTTTCGTTTCTTCATGGCCGGGCCGTCGGTGACGACCTCGACAGGCCGAACGGGGGCGGTTGCAGTCCTGGCCAGCAGGCTGGAAGTGTATTTCGCGATATCTTCGAAGAGAAGTCCATGTTGCGGGGTATGTGCTGTTTACAGGAGAAGAGGGTCAGCCGGCAGTCCTTGCACCTCCTATGGGGTTGTGGGGTGAAAGAAGATTGTTGTCTTAAGCGACATGACACGCACCGATCGCATCGTAAACCCGTTTTTTGAGCGCTGGTTGGGCGGCAAAGGCGTCCTCAATGGCCGGGATACTGGACGGCACCGATGAGTTGATCGTGGCAAAAGCCATGCTGTGGAAGGTTGACAGCCCCAATGACGCTTATATATATAATCTGCGTAAGTCAAACTTGTTGAGGCCGCCTAGAATAAGGGAAGTTGAATGGGGGAGAAATGGGTAAACCGGGACGCGGATCGGATGGATGAAGAAAGAAAGTAATTAGCAAGGAACGCAGCTGCAGACCTCTCCCCTGGCGGCCCTGTCGACCCGTGGGCGCGCGCATCCATAATTTCGAGCGCATTTGGGGCAAAGTAGTCCGCAAAGATTGGGTCCGGTCGCGCCTACGTCCAGTCTTCTAGCGACGGATGTAACTGTACTCAAATCAACCTACAGTTTGGTGCTGCAGGGAAGCAGCCTATCCATACTATTCATCTTATACATTCAGATTCTATGCTACAGTAGTATAATTGTGTACACCCATTGGAAAAAAGGAAAAGGGAAATGAAACAGAAAAGACCCAGGCGCACTCTCCCACAAGTCGGAACACCAAACGAAATCCCAGCAAGCAATTAGGCTTTCTTGGTCGCTTTCTCCTTCATGAAGTTCTCAATGAATCCGACCGTCTTATCATCTAGGATGTAATTTCCATTGGCATCCTTCCTCGCGTTCTGGCGCTCCTGCCTCTTGGCCTGAAGCATGGCCAAGAATTCACCTCTGGGTGTCAACAAAGACCGGCTTTGCAGATATTCCCTTCTGTAGTCTTCCATCTTCCTGGCTTCCACCCACTCCTCATCGTGTCTCGTTCTGTACTTCGAAAACTTGTTGCGGAGTTCGTCCAGGACGCTGGGAGGGAATGGGGCGTAGTGCAACGACGGCATCCAAGTGGGCGTTTCAACTTCCATACGGAGCGTGTCCCAGGCCTCATCCTTCATTTCTGCAGGGTCACTTCGGGGCCAAGGAATCTCAATGTCTTCACCGGCAATGTATCTCGTGTGTCGGGGCGTTTCGGTACCGTAGTCGCGTTCGAGGAAAGGCTCTCCGCCGCGGACATGTTCAACCAATACATCTCGTGTGGCGCCGGTGACAGGATCATCGAGAGCGACAACAAGGCGAACATCGTCGATGGAAAGAGGCAGGCTCACGGACTGGAAGGGGCTCGAGTTGCCATACTGCTCATTCAGCCAGTCGGGGAAGTGGACATCGGCCTGTTATTTGGAAAACCCAAGGATCAGCAAACGAAACAGTGGTTACTCTAGACATATTCTCATACCATGTTGAGATCCTTGACCACAACAGTCTCGGTCGTACCATCCACCCTAGTAACCTCGTTGATCTTGCCCTTGTCTTTGCCCTTCATGATGCATACTCGGTCGCCGGGAGCAATGTTGATGTACTGTCTCCGCAAGTGCTCCGGAATAGGCGGAGGGTTCATTGCCTGAGGGCTTAACGCACCGAAAAGCCTCCCTTCAAGACCGGCATCACGCTGAGGAGCCAGGGGGCCACGGAGCCAGTCTTCACGGCGTCGCTGTCTTTCCGCGCGGAGGTTATCGAGCTCGATGCGGTTGTAGGCAAAGCGCTGCCTTAGACTGTCCTTCAAATCCTCGCGTTCGGCTGATTTGGAGGCTCGAACTGCTTTCCGCGTGGCCTGGTTCCGCGCCAGGGCGGTCCTTCGAATGACCTTCTGCATCTTGACTGTTGCCCAGCAATGGCCGATTGTTCCCGCGGAGTCACCAGGAAGCCTTGAGAGATGCTCGGGAGGGAAAATTGCGCGGCCCTGGTTCGTGCACGTGACCGGGACTATGGAGAGCCAATGGGGAAACCAAATGACGGGGTTCCGAAACTAGTACTACTAAGTATGTACACACTGGAATTTGTCTCGCCACAACATTTGCTAGTGACTATTTATTTAGCAGTCTCAGAAGATCGTTTTGTTATAAGCACTGAATAAGTGAGTACATTCCAGCAGATATGCAGCAGCTACCATCAAAGAAAGCCTGGCCATAGCGCCAAAACTAGCACGTGCGCCTAGGACTAGGTAAGTAGTTCTCACATCAATACCATTCCAAGGCCCCTCCGATCGAGACAGGGTGCACTTCACATTCAGTACTCAGTATTACTTGAAGAAACCGAAGATCCTGAAAAGTGAAAACCCCAATATATATGAGAAACAGAGAGAATTGTTTGACCAGTACGAATTGAAGTATCGTCATCAGTATTTCTCAAACCATAGAGGCCAAAGAGGACCAATATAGACTGAGGATCTTAGACTTGTTCTACAGAGCATATAAGTCGTTGTGGCACAGGGCTGGCCATTAACCATAGATCAATTGTAACTATACTCGAGATCATCACTCATGTTCAACAAAGACTGGTCATACCATCTTCGTTTGGGTATAAGTGCTATTTTGGTCGTCTCCTATAGATGTAAACATCGTAACATCCAGTGTGCGGTGTTATTCGCGGGAGACTTGCTTTATATATCAGAAGAAAGAAAGAGTGTATTATGTTGCATATAGATCATGCTATCTCTAAGGATTATTATAACCCACAAGGTTGGCCCTGTCCTTAGAGTCTCCCAGGGAGTAACGCCAACTATTCCCGCTGCAGGTACTGATACTAATATGGATATCTCAATCTTCTGAATTCTTGTTGAATCCATATCAGCTGTGGTCTTCATGGCACAGCCGCCATCCTCGTCAACCCCGAAGGCACAAGGGGTATGCCATCATTGGCAACAGGTATCCGTAGCAGGCAACAACATAGTGTTTCCAGTACATGCCCAGCGTCCTTCAGTGTACTCTGCTTTGGGATATCACCGGCGAGCTAACGCAGGGACCTCTCGCGCGATGACTTGTTCAATGATGTGCGAGGTACTGAGTAGATCCTCCGGGAAGGTACACACACTCATGAGCTACCTAATCCAACGTCCAAATTTATCGACACTGTGAAGTGGGTTGGCAGACAATTGTGTAGATTCGTAATCCATCGGTGACTGCCATCCTTACTGCAAGAGGCCTCCTGTAGGACAAATGCCAATGTAGCGGATCTCTGGGACGGTGTCACCGATCATGTCTTACCACTGCTGAGAGTTACGGGTCCCCAAATGGAATCGGCACAGCATCTGACACGATCAGTAGGCAATAAGCAGGTTCGGTCAGACACAACAACAGCCTGCCAAGTCAGCCAGGCACAAGACTGAGCTAGCAGCATTTCGATAGCGTTTGCTGTCTGAGAGACTGACTCAGAACAGAGAAGATCATGTACTCTATAGGTGCACAGGACCTGCTCTCGTACAGCAACTAGACCTAGAAGGCCGTGGCAGATTATCTATGGTTGCTTTCTCCGCACGAAGGAACTCGGAGAGTACGGAAAATCGACTCCGTAGTGGAAGTAAAGCGTCTCGGCCGCGGACTTGCAGCATCTTTCCTGCACTTCCGCATTCCGCATACGAAACGTCAGCCAGGCCATTTGCTGAGTCTCAAGTGCGGTCACAACCACCCCACTTGACAACCAGCTATTTGGGTTGGTGACCATATACTCCGTGATCCTCTGCGTCTTTCGATCCTCGATCTGTTTTGATATTCATAATAGGAAAGAGATAAAGGAGTTGCCTGCTTCCAGTCAAAGATGACGTTTGCACTGGAGGAATATACGTACCGACCATGTTTGGTAAAGAGCATGGCGATCAATTGCACCGCCACGTCTCTTTGCTGTCGGTAATTGAAGGAAGCATCTCCCCCCTAGCGGGTCTGGAAGGTTACCGTCATACCGCACCAGAAGTACGTACCTTTGGTCACTCCTTCCAGGCTAAGCCTAATCCCCTCGGAAGGTCCGATAGTAATCTTGAGTGCCGATGGTCTGTCATTCTTCTGGATATTGAAGGCGCTTTTTTCAGGAAATATCATCATATTTACTCCATAATCCCCACAGAAAGGCTGGCTTGGTGATGAGTTGTTCGCTGAAAAAGCAATCTGACCGCTGCCTGGCTATACTCGGATCGCCAATGCAGACCGTACAGCAGGTATCTACACACTCAGTCTTGGATTATCGGGACTTCCACAATGGAACGAATCAGCGTAAAGATAGGGCGCCTGCAGGGTTATCGTCTTTGGGTTATCCCTTCCACCACCAGCCGTCTACATCATTGCGAGCTGCAGACTATGATGTTATTTCTTGGGGCGGAGTACTCTGTGCGTGGTGTAGCACGATGTAATGAGTGATCCAAGATGCATAAGTGAAATCCAGCCGGTATGTCTGTCCAAGGAAGAAAGCTGGGGTAGCATGCAGGGAAACCCCGAATGAGTAAAGTAAAGCGAATCGAGGAATTGCTTGACCTCCCGAAAACTGTATGAAACTTGGAGGTCGCTGGCTTGATTATCGCCATCTTTAATTGCTGAAGCATGGAAGTGAGAGGAACACATTAGTTACAAAATACTGTGGCAGCTTACCCAGACAACCGGAGGGACGCGACACCGCCGATTAGGAGAAGTATGGAGCCACAGCCGACAGCTCCGACTCTCTGGGGCGCCCACAGGCTTCTAGGCTCTCTCCGACTATGGTGACGGTAACTATGGTGTCGACGGAAGTTCTTTTATTGTGGATGTAGAATGGACCATGTTACTGGTAGTACTATCACGGATTATATTGACGATGACATGGCCTCAATTGTAGGAGGCATTTTTTGTTTACCTTTTACTTTTGCAGTCCTCCCCCCCTCTTCGAAATTGTTCGGAAGATAAGCCCGCGGAATATAGAAGAAGGCTAAGGCAATGCAGTCTGACGACTGACAACTATTCAGTGCTTAGTCTAACTAACTAACTAACTTACCACTACGCAGCCGAGATGGACCGAAGAACTAGTTAGGTTGGAGCTTAATAGCAGCAAAAAAGGAGCTCAACTATTACAGGGGAAGAGATTGGATGAAGGTTGACTGGGCTGAATGCCTGGGAATGAATACATAGTCGTAAACACGGGCCACGACAATACGTAAGTGCCACTGATACTCGTAGGTAATGTCGATTATTACTGCGTTCACCCTGTCATTAGTCTTCAGCCACGGTGGCTTCGACGGAGAATGAAGGCAGACCAAACTAGGCAGCTAAGTAAGCAGGATTGTCGAAGGAGACAAACTGGGTCACGAGCGAAACAAATTCGGTGCCTGTTAAAAGGAGGTACTGAGCTGATGGAAGAAAAGGAGTGATGGCAATTGTAGAGATGGAAAAGAAAGAAAGAAAAGAAAGAGAAAGAAAGGGCGTGGAACGATTATCCGACATCTCTCATCTGGTTGGCCCAAAAACCATTTTATTAAATTCCAATGCGATACAAGCCATCAAACTGTACTGTGTCCTACTGAGGAGACTGGGAAAGCATATCACGTCATTCCCAAGTATGATACTTTTTTTTTCTTTCTTTTTGCCTTTTGTTCCGTAGTCATCTACATACAGTAATAAGAGTGTGTCCAAGATGGGAGGAAAGAGAATAAATTAATCGAATCACATGAATGGGGAAATTGGAGTGAAAGGGGAGAGAGAGTGGGTGGAAAATAGAATCGTCATAATCTGAATCAAATCAAATCAAAATAAAATAAAAATAATAAAAGAACTAACTGGCTTTCACAGCCACATAGCATTTTCACCAGGAAAGGTGGATGGGGCTGGGCCAAATGTCGCTTGCCAACCGTTTCAGGCCCTTCTAGTCTGGGTTTGGTCAGGTTCCTTTCCTTAGTCACCCTACTTTTCGGGAACAGGGAGCCTCACCTGAAAGGACCGGGGGGGGGGGGGAAACGAAGTTACGAAAGAACAGAACGTCGCCCAAACGAAGGAGGAGCCAAAAGCCAGCCCTGGGGCCAACCGCCGATAACTGACCCATACACAGGCCAGCAGCAAAGCAGCAGCAACAGTACCAATCCAGCTGCACCAAGCATTGTCTCTCTCCCTCTCCTCTCTTTCTCTCTCTCTCTCCCTCTCCCTCTCTTCTCTTCCATCCTTCTATCAACAACCATCTCCTCCCTTCCTCATCATTGTTCCTTTGGGAACTTTTTTTTTCCTACCTTTCGTGCCATTCTTTCCTCGTAAACTCGTTTGTTGGGTTTATTACTGGAAACTCTTGGCTCGGCCATTCACCCTGCCTTTCCCTCCCTGAATATTTTAGTCCGCGCCCGTTGCGCCTACGACTCCCCTGCACCGTACGTGATAACCCTTTTCCTCGGGCGCCTGACTTGTCCCTTTCTCTACTCTCAACTTCCCCCATCCAACACCCCCATCCATCCACTCCTGCAACAACAGCTTCCCACCTCGCTCGTTGTCGTTGGACACTCTTTCACCACATCATCCCCTTTATTTCTATTCAACTTCTCTTCCTCCTCGTCCTTTGCTAATCCTCCACGCTTTGAAAGATGGCTGAAATCCGCCGCAAGCTCGTCATCGTGGGCGATGGTGCCTGCGGTAAGACTTGTCTTTTGATGTGAGTATCCTCCCTTCTTCTAATTTCGCTACATATGGATCAAGCAGTGAACTAACTCTGGCTTCTTTTTTTTCACCAGCGTCTTCTCCAAGGGTACCTTCCCTGAGGTTAGCTTCCACCGACCCTCCTGACCTGATCCTTATTGCCGTCTTTCACCCCCCATGGCCATCCCGAGATATCTGGCTAGCCTTCCAGTTAACAAGCACTCCGCTTCTGTTAAGCTGACCTATCACGCTTTAGGTGTACGTCCCTACCGTCTTCGAGAACTACGTCGCCGACGTAGAGGTCGATGGCAAGCACGTCGAGCTTGCCCTTTGGGATACGGCTGGTCAGGAAGATTATGACCGTCTTCGTCCTCTTTCATACCCTGACTCCCATGTCATCCTGATCTGTTTCGCGGTTGACTCTCCCGATTCTCTCGACAACGTCCAGGAGAAGGTTAGTTCTCCGCGACATGTCTGGTCTCCTTAGCGGGCAGATGGGCAAAGGACCTACTTTCTAGATAACTAATATCATTACAGTGGATCTCTGAGGTCCTTCACTTCTGTCAGGGACTCCCCATCATCCTTGTTGGCTGCAAGATGGATCTGCGCCACGACCCCAAGACCATCGAGGAGCTTCACAAGACCTCCCAAAAGCCGGTTACCCCTGAGCAGGTATGTGGCACACGACCAAAAGGATGCATCATCCCCCGACATAGAGGCTAATATGCGATTAGGGTGAGGAGGTTCGCAAGAAGATCGGTGCTTACAAGTACCTTGAGTGCTCTGCGCGCACCAACGAGGGTGTCCGCGAGGTCTTCGAGGCTGCCACCCGGGCTGCCCTTCTTACGAAGACCCACAAGAGTAAGAAGAAGTGCACTATCCTGTAAACTAGTTTTCTCTCCTTCGCAAAAGGTCTGTTTCATGCGGAGATTATATGAACGGATAAGCGTCTGATCCTTTGGTTTTCTACTATTTATTAAGAGGGGGTCATTCCGTTGGCGTGTTCCACTATGTGTGCCCGGATGCGAGTGTGGATAATGTTCAATCACGGGCACATGAGCTTCATGGGATATCTGGCTATGCACTTGGTCGACTTTCTATTTTGCAGACTTGATTTGATTTTCTAGGGAGGCGTTGTCTTCATAACCTCGTGGGTTTTTCTTTTTTTCTTTCCTATCGGTTTCCAGCTCCATAGGCGCCTAACGGGATGGTTCTCGGTCACTATGGCAAGAAGGGCGCCAGGTTGCCTTCAAAGCAAACGTCCTCGCTACCCCCGAGTACTGCAGATCGGAATTGAGCAACTGGGGAATGCGTTCGTCTCACGTCTCTCCCATCAGTCAAATCTCTCGAATGTATCCGGTCCAAGGAAAGAAAAAGAAGTCGAGAATCGGAATCCCGATTCTCACTTTGTACGGATTCCCCTCAGCACAGTCTTATCCCCCACTTCTGTTGTTTTTTCCCCTGTTTCGGTTAAAGAGAATGCATGGAATTTGTCGTTGGCTTGGTTTTCTCCTCCATGTCCTGCAGCCTATCCAGTCGAAACTGCACTGCATCATGTTCTATCGTCATGGTCTCCGAGCAGACATGAGGAATATCTAGCACGCCTATTAAGTTACTATTTACTAATCCACCATTTTCTCCCACTCTTTTCTCGTACTGTGATGAACCTATTGCGTATGCACTGCGTATTCTCCTAGTACAACCATCTATTTTAGCATCCGTACTTTCTGACCTACCTCAAATAGCAACACTCCATAGCCTAACATGGCGATATTCCGCAGCCTACAGACAGGGAAGGGGTGTGTGGATAGTAGACAGCAAGCCAAGGGGGGATTTGCCAATCCACTGATAGCTAGCGTCTAATGATAGTAACAACTAGCCGAACTAGATAAAAGTCAAGACGTAAGTTCAACCACGACCACTCATCCTGGTTCCTCCATCTATATATGGAAACTCGATAGTAGTGAGGAAAACAAGGAACAAATAGATAGATTAGTAGTAGATATATTAATAAAGCAGAAGATATAATGTAGTCATATATAGTATAAGTATGATAGAAATAGGAATTAAGTTGTTATGCGGTATGTAATGATCCCGTTCAATTTCAATTGTTTTCATACATACGTTCGTACCGGCGGTTCTGTATGTGACTTACGGGACTAATCGTTTTCAGGGGTAACGAACTATCTATCCTATCTACTACACAATTGTGTACCTGGGTTTTTCTTCCCTACATGACTATGTACTTTTTTTTTATAATAAGAAGTGGGTGTGGTTCGAGCTTATATATATTTTCTATTATATGTATGCTGATAGATAATGTAATCACTGGGTGGTCAACTATAAGTACTAAATACTGACTTGTATACATTGTGAGTTTAGCATAACAAATTCAAGGTGGATTATTGAATCAAGGCACGATTAACTACTCAGTTTCATTGCCTGTCATATCTTGCATATCTACTTCACTGTATCTCATGCTTCTTTTTACTCCGAGTCATGTATCATGTGAAGCATCTATCAAATTTCTGCCTCGCTTGTAGGTGGGTTTTATCTGTGGGTATGATCTTCGTTTTGAGTGGATAGTGAATTATTTATCTTCGGCTACAGTAGTACTTACAGTTGCTATTCTCCTTTGTCTGATTGGTTCAGTATTCAATGTATTAGAGGTGGTAGTACTGGCAGGGTGAATGATCTACCATATTCATTGAAAATAGTGACTGTCAAAGAATACCAATCGAGTCTCTTTGTTGGTTGGTAAATGTATATATAGCATGTCGTGTCTTATCTATTCAAGCTGAGTAAATTCTCAATATATCGTCTTGCGTCCAGGCCCAGCCCTTCGACAAGTTTCCCCGGTCCTGTATCGGTCCGCGATGCCTGCAATCCCGGCGATGAAGCGCCGCCTAGATCGCGGAAGAACCGAGTGCTGCTACTGTTGCGTGCATGTCCGGATGGAGAGACGGAATCACTGGATCTGCGGACGATGAATGCTTCCTGATGGGGGGCATTATTGCTGTCCGGCTCCGTATTGGTCTGAACGCTGGCGTTGGAGGCTGTGCTCCCTTGTTCTTGTCTGGGGGGTTCGGACATCCGAATCCAGACGATCCACCAGCCGCGGCTGGTCTTGCAGGTTCTTTCGACCTCGAGAGGTCGCGAGCGGGTTTCAAGGTGGGTGCTTAAGAGTCGGTGGTGGATATTGAGGCTCTCGACGCGCGACCATGGGTGTGTGGCTGGATCCCGGGGTTCGTTGACGGTGCACCCAAGGTCTGGTATGTTCGGGATTGAAGAGCGGATTGTTAAGTTTGTTTGATCGTAGACTAGATTGTAGACGGGCTGGGTTTTGCCGGTAAATCGCTTGTTGATGTCGAGGGCGTTATCGGACATGGAAATGCGAAGTTCTGCGGTGGCAGGTGATGTGGAATTGCTGAGAGACTTGTGGAGCGGGCTGAGTTGGTGGCTGATGGTTTGATATAGCGTCGGGTCGGATAGAGTCGAGGTTGCGGGATCAAATAGAAATGTATATATGAATGGTTGATGCTGTAAGTCTGTTAGTTCAGGTAGTAAGGCTGTGTGGTATGGGGAAGACATACAATATAGACTACTGCTTGCAGTTCTGTCAAGCCTTAGGCGAAGCTGGTTAGCTGTGGACGGTCTAATCACACATTGAATCCCTTACCTGTTAGAGCCGGCTCCGTAGACTCTGACAATTGAATGTGCAAGCGTCTGTAGTTTATATTATTCTGCGATGGCCCCGTCTGACTTTCCGTTGGGTCAGAGCCCTCTTGCATAGGTGCACTCTGATTGTCAGTATTAGAAAGCAGGCCAACGAGAAATTTCCCACAGCTCTGAATCTTTTTGCCCTCACTGGGCTGAGGATCCTCCCCATTAATGGCTCCCGGGGCATCAGTAGACAAATCCGTCTGTTTGTCTGGACTCATCGGCCTGTCTTCTCGCTTTATAGCCTCGACTCGCGGGTGTGGACTGGCTGTTCCCGACGATACTCCCCAAGATGAGCCATAGCCAAGAGTGAGATATTTCACAAATGTCTCTGTCCTGAAGCCTATCCAATCGTTTCCTCGATCGCTTCCTACTGGTGAGCTCTCGCCACTGGTATGTGAGCTCGACTTCTGTGGAGCCTGCGGAGACTCCGCTGTTCCTACCACGAGTGGAGGTGGTATACCTGGAGAGAAAGGGCGATCGGGTGTTGCAGCTTGAGGTTCCGCCATCATTTGCTTGGTGGGATCGCTTCCAGCTAGTTTGCTGCGGTGCTTTCTTCGCCGCTTTCGACGACGTGGTGAGCTTGGGTCTTCGCCTACACCGTATGCGTCGGCGCCGTATCTATAGATTGATTCCATCCATTGTGAGATTCGCAAGAGGGATGGTCTAGAGACTGCTCCGACTCCTGAGAATATAACGCCATCTGCCGGCCTAGGGCAGGCTCCCGAGCCAAGCCATCGATCCTCGCCGTCACCTATGTTCAGCGAATCTCCCGGTCTGTTGTTTGCTGCCGGTTCCTTGTCAGAGGAGCCAGGATCACCAAATCGTGAGACGACCAGGTCCAGGAGGCCATCTGTGCGGGCGACAAAGTCCTCTAAAACCTCCCTCTCCCCGCTTCCCCACTCTTCTTCGCCAACGCCGATTCCGAGTTCACCCCCAGCGGAGAGCTTGACGCCATTGTATATGTCAACAGCGGGGTTTCCGCTTAGAAGAACCTCCCAGGTCCATGCGAACCTCCACCAGAAATTATCAACAAGAGCACAGAATGTGGGTCTACCAACACGGCTGTATAAGGCGTCAAGTGTCGAATCGTGGTGGAGAAGAAAGATGGAGTGGGCTCGACGCAGTTGTTGTATTAGCAAAGCAGGAGGAGACATCTCCCTTGAGGAATAGCTGAATGAAGAAGACGAGGCATCGCGCTGAGAGGAAGTTGTGCTAGGTTGATCAAGTGGGAGGCGAGTTAGGTCGACAGACTGTAACAAGCTCAGCAGCTATTGATGTGATGCTCCGGCGCAAGTCTACCTACAGCTAGAATCCACCAGTCCTTCTCAAGTTCATGTAGGATAATCTGCGACTTTTCGGTTTCGACGTAATCGACTGCTTTTCCTTGCGAAAAGTCCCTAGGATCATTAGTACAGCGCCAGTTGTGGTAGAACGATGTAGAGCGAATCCCACCTGGCAAAGCCTACCATGCCCTGAGCCAGTCCTATCTGTCGCAAGATCTCATTCCAGTAATCGTTGGAGTATTGGTCGCCATCGTCAGCCGCGGAGCCTTCACGTCGGCGCGATCGACCCGATCGAGATGTATAGAAGACGACTTGGTCGCGGATTGTCTCGTCGGTCGGACCGAGGCGGGGGTTGTATATAGCGAGGAACGACAGTTGCGCAGGAATCACTGACGCTAAATCACTCTCCGGCATTGCACCATCGAACCGTGAGCTCCAGCTCACAGTGAAGCAGTGCAGTTGGGTGAGAAACACTCATCGTCACCAGACGGACTGGAGTAGTGGGCGGCGGTGACATCACGTGGTGGAGATGGGAGGTCGGCGAACTTGCCGGAGCTGCTGCGGATGCGACTGTTTGATTGTTCCGTCACCCGCAAATCGCCGCCGTCAATTGCTGGCCATGTTTCTCTTGCGGGGACCTGGAGCTCTCTGTGCCTACAGACGAGCCGGTCTTTTCCCATCCTTGTCACATAGATGCCTCGCGACGAAGGCCTACGACCCACTCCGGATTCTCTTTTGCGGATCTGACGATTTCAGCATAGCTTCGTTGAAAGCTCTCCATGAAGAACATGTCAAGCGACCGGATCGGATTGCCTCAATTGATGTCGTTTGCAGACCAGGGAAGAAGGTTGGAAGAGGGTTGAAGCAGATCCGCGAGGGTACTTATCTAGGCAAGCTTGACAAGTTGTTCGTGCAGCTAATTGTTTTTTTATGTCGCAGTTCCCATCAAAGCGGCCGCAACGGAGTTGTCGCTTCCGATCCACGAGATAGATACTTTTCGAGGCTGGACGGTAATTCGCAGCTGTTGATACCTGCTATGGCTACGTGCTGACACTGTTAGCCGCCTACGCTACCCGGGGGCCCTATAAACCTGATCATTGCCGTCTCATTTGGGCTGTTCGTACCTCCGCGGCTTCTCAACGGCGCGAAGTATGGAGGTCTAAATGTCCATCCATCGTTGCTTCCCGAGTATGCAGTCGCAGATTACCCACGAACGGACCCCGCTAACACAATACTTGAAGCTTCCGGGGCCCTGCACCACTACATCATACCTTGTTAGCCGGTAAAACTAAGACCGGTGTCACCCTTCAGACGCTTGATCTCAAGCACTTCGATCATGGCACTATCCTGGCGCAGACTCCAGCCCCTGGCTTCGACATTCCCAATCCAGATGCATGCACGGTACCCGATTTATTGAATCTGGTTTGTCCGAAGGGCGCGGATATTCTCGTCAAGGGTATACGGGAAGGTCTTTTTGTTCCCCCGGTGGAAGATGCGGGCTGGCGAGCCTCTGAAGGAGACGGCCCATTGGTCCATGCGGCCAAGATCAAGCCGGAGGACAGGCATATAGATTGGCAAAACTGGTCATCCCTGGACATCAGCAGAAGGAATCGCGTTTTGGGTCCACTCTGGAGCAAGGCATTGGTTGCCAACAACACTTCCAGTGAAAAACCTTCCTTCCAACACCGGCGAGTTATCTTCACCGATTTTGAAGAAGTAACACCACTCAAAGGCTGCAACAAGTTCTCCGTTGTCCCAGGCTTGCCATTCGTGGATGGCACGCATCCCATCGATTCTACAAAGGGAAAGGGCGTTTACGTGTTCACGCGAGATGGGAAGCTCATTAAGGTACACCAGATGAAGGTGGAGGGCGAGCCGAATGCTGACGCTCTCCGCGCTGCTCTGAAGGCTCGGATGGTTGGCGACCGGACATTTTACTCCGGTGAAGTGGGCTATACGCCGTTTTACAACCCTCTTGTGTAGGGGACTGGTGATAAAAGTAAACTGATATGTGTTCTATCTTGCTAACGTCATGATACCAGCTCTAGCACTTAATATTTACCCGTTCCAGTGCCCAATGCCACATCAGAAAGTCTACTTCGCAAGGCTCCACATTTTCTCTATTTGAAGGAGAAGCCGGAATCTGAAAAGTTAGTTTTGTTGTAGACAACAAAAGCAAGAGCACTCACCGATCTGTATCTCTTGCCCAGTCATAGATGAGTTCTGCGCAAGCATGACATATGCTTGAGCGGCGTCTTCAAGCTCAGGCTGTTCACGACCTCGTTAATAGGCGGAAACCGTGCATGGATTGGTCAAGAGCCTTACCACTTTCTTAAGGGCTGTCTTTGCCGTCCACCCCTCAATTGCTTGGGCAGGGAAGCGCTGGCCCTATGGTTCGTCCACATTAGCTCTACCGCGACCAAGCTCCACTACAACTGCGATGGCGCTACTCACCCATTCAGTCAAAAGAAGGCCAGGAAGAACCGCATTCACGCGGACCTTGCTACCTTGAGTGTGTGCAAGGCATTTCACCATGTGCAGTCCTATTGCTGATGTTAACGGGGATGCAAAGCGTTCATTGCGGTTTGCTTACCTCCAGCTTTAGTGATCGCATATGGCAAGCTGCTTCCAGTTGGCGAAACGGCCTATCTTGCAGGTCAATACTTGCGCATCTTACCATGCGACCTTCGTAGAGGACCTACCGCAATAGATGAGGTCAGCAGGAACACGCCACCCTCGGGGTTTGCATTGAATGTGGGCAGTGCTGCTTTGAAAAGATAGAAATGGCCTTTTACGTTCATTGACCAGCACTGAGGAATTCGTTAGCCTTGCAAATCACGGCGACCCTCTACAGGGCTCACCCCATTGTGACACCTACTCTATCCCATTCCTCGTCATTCATAGCGTCCAAGTCATTGAACTTGGTCATTTTGGTCCAACCCTGGCCATGCGTTCAGTCAACCTTCCCCTATTGCTGACACGGACCGGGATAGTAGCGACTCACTGCGTTCGAAACAATAATATCCAGGCCTCCCAACTGATCAATGGTGGTTTTGACAGCGTTAACGCAGTCATTCTGAACACCGGCATCCTAAGTGATACAGCCACAAAATCAGTCCAGCAGTCCGCCAATCAGGCTCGACACAACATACACCTTGTATAGTAATAGCCTTGACCTTGTAAACCTCTCGCAGTTCTGCGGCCAGTTTCTCAGCGGCGTCTTTGCTCGAAGCGTAATTGATGGCGACATTGCAACCCTCGGCGGCGTATTTCTGGGCCACAAGAGCACCCAGCCCTCTAAACGTCACATATCGTTAATAAATGCCCCCAAACAGGTAAACACAGCGGAGCGAAGGAACATACCGTGAGCCGCCCGTGATGAGAGCAACGCGATTGCGCAGAGAATACATGATTATATGGCTAGATAGTTGATTGAATCGTTCGAAGCAGATCTAGCAGAGCTGAGTCGACCTGAGGACACACCGAAGTAGTAGATAAGTAGTTGACGAAGCGGGGTCAATCGGAGCTTATGTCGGCGGCGCTCATCTAGTTAACTAATGCCTGCTGCGGAACCCTCCGTCCGACTAGTACGTGACTTACGGTCTTTTTGTCTACTTGCAGGGTTGGAGGGGGTGGTGCACCTGCACTATATAGCTGCGCTTTTTCTACTATAAGGCCCAAGAATGCTGTTGGGTTTTCAGTCTTAGTGAGTCTAATTGTGGTATCATCATTGTCCAAGAATTATTAGTTTCCAGATCACCCCTGCCAGGTACAATGCAGAAGAAAAAGATGGGAGACCAACCTTACTGTCTCTATGTATACCTCGGTTCGGCCCCTCGATGTGGTCCCGCCGCCGACTGATCGCCCGTAGGGCCCGACAGCTTGTTGCTAAGAAACATGGTGGATGACCCGACGGTCTAATATTAATGTTCAAGGGGTATCATGTATGATATGTCTATAGATACAACAGGCTAAGATCAGATCGCAAGACACCGGAAAGCAATCGAAGTTTTGAAGGCTTGTAACAAGAACCGGAGATACAACACCGGACACTCAATCCATAAGTGTACCCACATATTCTGTCTCCTTCATTCCCGGCCACGCCTTCTTCCCTGCTAATGCGGGCCACTGGACCAGAAATCGATCTGCCAGAGGCAACAGAAGTTTCCCCGACAGGCTCAATGTAGTCACGCGAGCCCACGATTCTACGAAGATTGTGCGCAGCTGGTAGGTACCCGGCGCGAGCACTGGCGCTGTTGCAGAGTCACTTTCTGATGTTCTTCTTCCGGGCGCAGAAGGAGAAAAGAACCCGCACAATAACAGCCATAGACGAAGTAGCCGGGCGGCAACGATGACGCAGACCGCGGTAGCAGGGCCATTAGTGAGAATGAGGTCCGGGTATGGAGGGGATAGATGCGACGCTGGGCGAGAATGCCGGCTCTGGTCCGGATGAAGACCACGCAAGACCGAGAGACAGGACCAGAAGGAATTCAGTGTGGAGAAAGGCGCAGTCAGGTAGGATTGGTGTACGCGACGGGCGCGGGGTACCGTGACGATGGTGTAGGAGGGTTCTGGTGATGCGGTTTTGGCATTGGAATTGACATGATGGTTTATGTGGGTTGTTTCGAACTCAACAGCTTTCGTAGCGCTGAAATTGTCCCCAGAGCTTACGATGTAGGTTCGATGGGTGTATTTGGACGGATCTAGGTTCATGCGCCGGAGCATAGAGAACATCTCGGCTGTGTGGCCGCCGCTACCGAGGACGACTAGGAGATGAATCGGGGAGTTTCGTGGGCGCCATTTGGGGACTTGGCTGTTTTGTGATTTGGCGAGAGCGTGGATGATGAGCTGAAAGTTATTGAGTGGGTGGATTAGCTTTGGTTGTATATAGGGGAGATGGTGTGCAGGGAATTGCTTACAATGAGCGTAAATATGCAGGCTATGGCAGTAATGCCGATAGCCAGAAAGAGGCTAGTCCAGGATAGCCATGACTCCATGGGATTGAGAGGTTGCTGTATGTATTGTTTGAGATGAACCGAAGATGTGTTATTGAGGATGTGGCAGGTTCCAGAGTTGTCGCAGTTGTCGCATGCGGCCGGCGGAACGAATGAACTCTATGTATATAGTGACAGCGCATTAAAAGGCGGAGACTTCTTCTTCAAACCTTGTCAAACCAGCCCCATAGCTAGTTACGACAATAGCTAGGGAGCGACAAGTGAATGAGGAGTAATTGTTGCGGGGGGCGTTAGATGCTTGGGGATCTATCTGGAAGCTGGATAACTATCCAGGCACGTGGTCCGTGCTAGTCTCGGCGATTATTTTGGTGTTGTTGTCTTAACTCCTTCCTCTGATTTCCCCCCATCGTCCATCCCATTTCTTATCGTCACCGCCATCAATGTCCACCTACACGGCTTGAGATGGCTTCATTGTTCGCTAAGCGATTCAAATGCTTTTATTGCGGGCGTCGCTCGGCCCACTCCGACAGCGATACTGCCCGCAAATGGCGTTGCAAACATTGCGAAGCCGTCAACTACCTGGATGAGGTAAGTCCCGTGTTTTGTATATTCAGGCGTCAAGCAAGATTTTAAGTACTGATTGCCTCGGCGGTTGCGCTTCATAGAAAGGAGAAATTACGGATCCCCCCGCTGCAGAAACAAATCCAGACGTCTACGGTCCCGGGGCATCGAGCCCGCCATTCGAATCCACCGACTTTACAGCCTCCAGCTTATTCTGCGCCCAGTGTCTTCGAAACCAACACCTCTTTACCAGCGCTTTGGCGTCCTATTTTCCGTCATCTGATGATCCAAACTACAGCGCATATGAGAAGGAGTACCCCAAATTTCGCAAGAACTTAGAGGAGCGTTATCCGCAGGTGTGCGTCAAATGCGAACCCAGAGTGAAGCAACGCATACGTCAGGCAGGATATGAAGCAAAGTCAGACCACCTGAGACGCATGATGGACCGGAGTAAAGCTGGAAGGGCCGCTCGGCAAGCACGTCGATGGAACTGGAGGAACCTGTTGGTCTTAGCTGGTGCTCTGGGTTACTGGATTAGTGTTGCTGGTCAACTTAGCTGGAATGTGTGGAGTGCTTTGACTGTTGAGGAGTGGGAACCGCTGCAGGATCCAGACTCCCCCTCGATGTCGCCCTCTATTATCTCTTGTGTGAACCTTCTCTTCGAGACCCGCCGCGTGCCGAACCATTGCTCAGTAGACCTGGCACCGTACGCCGGTCTTGCGCTGATTGCAGGCATCCTGTCCATTTGGTGGAACCCGAAATTGCGACTCAAGGTTGAAGGGCGAGGAGGTCGCTTCGTGAAACTAGGAGAGTACTACCAGGTTCAGCTCATTATTTTGGTGGTGCGATGCGCTTTCTGGGGCGTCTTAAGGGATCGGTCATCAAGTGGACTGCCACCAGACCTGCCACCAACATTGCATCTCTTCATGATCTTCTTCACAATTATGGTGAGCTAATCATCTGACAACTATTATCTGAGCCCAGCATGCTAATAATTTCTCAGTCTGTCATGGTCTCCCGGCGGATAGTGCGCTACGATACCCGGCCATTGGTAGACTGGACCGATGACACGCCTGCAGCCACGCCAAACCGCAGAACCGAAGCTTCCCCTCCGCCCTCTACGACTACCGGACAGGAGTTTTCGACCCCAAGCTCCAATCTTCGGCAGCGCACCTCTCGTTTCCCTCTCGAAAAACTAGGCACCCCAAGGGCGACCACACCGCGGGCAGCCCTCGAGACCCCAACCATTCCCACACCACCTCCAGAATCGGATGACATGGACTGGACTCCCTCCGTGCAGCACGAACTCACACCGACTGTCAGCGTTCATCAAAGGGATCAGAAGTCCGTGCTCGATGGGCCGATGCCTTTTTATGGATCCGTTCCTGCTGCACCACAGCCACCCGCATGGAACCTGCGCAATAAACCCGCTCAGCGTGTGAAACCAATCGAACAAGTCGTTGAACG